ACTGAATCAAGGTTTTGGTTTTCAGAATTCAAGCAGTCAATCATGATTCCGGACCAGGGCCACCAGTCCATGATTTCAAATAGTTAAGGATCTTTTCAGTAACTGGAACAAAATCTTCTTTATATGTGACAATGGTTTCCACATAAAACCCTTTTGGGGCCTCGAGTAGTTCATTTGTTGAGACATCCTTTTGTTCTACTTCATCACCTTAAAAAGAAACAAAAAACACCTGAATTATTAACTAAGAGAGAGCAGTCTTGGAAATAAACTAAACTAAGATGAGAATTACCCTCCCCTACAATCAGGAATACCCATCAGATTCCTGTCACCATTCTGTATTTTAAAAAGAAAGAAAACACAACCACTGCAGATTTTAAAATGTTTTTAAATGCTTAATGCTCGGCGTGTACTTTGAGGCCATTGATAATTAATCTTCATCACCAACCGTAATCTTCAGCAGTGTTTTCACAACAGCTTTGTTGAGATATAATTAACATAACACACAATTAAAATGTACAATTCAATGTCCTTTTTGGTATATTCAGATTTGTGCAACCAGCACCACAATCGATTTCTGAGTATTTCGTCCCTAAAAAGAAACCCCATACCTTTAGTCGTCACTCTCCACCTCCCCCCACCCCTGAGCCACGAGCAACCACACTAACCAACTTTCTGTCTCTACAGATTTTGAAGGCTGAGAGATTTCCTTTCCCAACCAGTAATTGGGAAGATTTTAATACTCCTTGGCTGCTGAAAGTCCTGAAATCGTTTGCTCGCCATATGCGACGAAGGCTAATGGTACAGAGGCATCACCTCTTTAAACCACGGCCAGGGTCTCTGAAATTCCATCTTGAACCTTACACAGGCTGTTTCCATTCTGAGTATGGGGACGGCCCTATGCAATAAATCATAACGATTTAGGTAACAGTATTTAAAAGGCAGTTCCTGGCGTCAAGTTCTTTGCAGATTCTACTATAACAAGCGGCTCTAAGCAACAGTTTCTGCGAGTTTTGCAGAATAAACCTGGGGCTTAAAGCACAGGAAAATCGATTCCACCAGCCCCTGGGCACTCCCCGCCGAAGGCGGCGTGTCCAGAGGCAGGTCCCGCGAGAGAGCCCTACCTGGAGGATTGCCCTTTTTCCTGCTTATTAAGTACACTGAGCCCAACAGGGTCCAGGTCCCGACCGCGTAGACCACCGACATCCGCCGGTACCAGGACGAGGCTTGGGTGGGACGCATGAAGACGCCAGCAAAGACCCGGCTCCTCGGAGGCCCACGGTGGAGGCGGGTTTTCCGGCCAGCGAGCCGCGGCGCCGCCGCCGCCACCAATGAGGAGCCGGCCTCCCGCGGTCGCTTCCTGCTCTGGCTCCGGTGCATCTCGGGGCGTGTAGTCCCGAAAGTGGCTGCGGGCCTCGGACTGTGAGGCGTGGATCTTGGGGCCCATTGGTTCAAGTGCATTGTTTCGGGCGGGCGACACTGCTTACCACGTGATAGGGCCCAAATGACAACTTCTCCGAGCAGAAACTTCTCACTTGCAAAATTGTAATACTTGCCTTACATAGGCTCCAGGTGGTATTTGAAAAGGTTAATTTCATTTCCTCTCCCAGCTCTCAGATTTGCGGAGATACCGCTTGCCTCTTCCCGCAACGCATCTCCCCTGTCTTCCTTTCCAGAACTCTGGGTACCTTCAGGTTAAAGCTCCTCCTTCCACTGTGCTCCGGGTCCCATTTTTCCCTGCCTCCTCAGCGGCCTTTCCCATCATAGACACCCTAACTTAAAACCCCCACCCCGCTTATCCATCACTACTGACTTTTAACCTTCATTGTACAAACGTGCCCACGTCTCAAAAGCCAAAAATCTTCGACTTCGTCCACTTTCAGCTTTTCTCTTCTTCATACATTTCTTCAAAGCATAATAGCCTCAGTAGACTGAACAACTTAAGAGTAGGGGCGATGTACTTGGCAAAGTAGCCTCAGTAAATTGCCATTAACTAGATTTCAATCATACTCAAACTTGTCTCTAAAGCGTTTGACACCACTGACCCCACTTGCTCCTTTCATGGCTTCAAAAACATCATTTTCTCTGGTATCCTTCAGGGCTCTTTTTATGTCTTCCACCCTTGAAAAATTGATGTTCTGCCCTACAGAAATCTACACCTACAAAAATTGACTAAAAGGATCATTGCGGCCGGGCGCGGTGGCTCACGCCTGTTATCCTAACTAGCACTCTGGGAGGCCGAGGTGGGAGGATCACTCGAGGTCAGGAGTTCAAGACCAGCCTGAGCAAGAGTGAGACCCCGTCTCTACTAAAAATAGAAAGAAATTAGTTGGACAACTAAAAATATATAGAAAAAATTAGTCAGGCATGGTGGCGCATGCCTGTAGTCCCAGCTACTCGGGAGGCTGAGGCAGGAGGATCGCTTGAGCCCAGGAGTTTGAGGTTGCTGTGAGCTAGGATGACACCACGGCACTCTAGCCCAGGTAGCAGAGTGAGACTCTGTCTCCAAAAAAATAAATAAAAAAAAATAAAAGGATCATTGGCTTAAGGGTAAAAACTAAAACTATAAACCTAGAAGAAAACAGGAGAAAATCTTTACCACCTTAGGATAAGCAGAGATTTCTTAGAATACAAAAAGCATAAACCATAGATCAAAACTGTATAAATTGGACTTTTTGAAAATTACAACTTTTGCTCTCTGAAGTTCACAGTTCAGAAAATGAAAAGACAAAGACAAACTACAGAATATTCAAAATACATACACCTGACAAAAGGTTTGTATCTAGAATATATAGACTCTTTTCAATTCAGTTATAAAGACAGCCCAACTAAAAAACAAGCAGCAAATGTGAATAGAACAAAAGAAGATATACAAATGACCAATAAGCACATGAGCATCATTAGACATCACAGAATTGCAAATTAAAACCACAATACAATGAGACTCCACTATGCACCTACTAGTTTCATGGGTGTGCACATATGTCAAGACTCATCAAATTGTACACTTCAAATGTGTGCAGTTTATTGTATGCAAACTACACAATAAAATTATTATAAACAGAAAAATCAGTTTTCTGCTTCAAACTTGCTTCTCTTCTCATCTTTACATTTTTCTCTTTACTTCCTTTATTACCTTTACTCATGTTACCTACTTTATATGTTAATAACTCTCAAATCAACTCCAGATTTTCTCTCGAGAGCAAATCCATATAAATTACTGCTGACCTGTTGGGCATTTTCAGCTCTATATCTCACAAGCTCTTTAAATTTAAAAAATGTCCATAATTGAACTTATCAATACCACCCTCAATAGGAAACAAAACTTCTCTAAGAAATCATAACCTGAATAGGAAGCCAACACATGGCATGACAGAACGTAAGTGACTCAATTTTGTCATTGGGAATGTTTTCCTTTAAGTGGCATAGGGACTGACTGGGACACCAAACCCCTGGAGAAAAATGTAATACTACCTGGCTTGGACATGAACAATATGTACATCATAACTGTGTAAATTCTTTTCATTATCTTTCAGCTTTCACAATCAACTCAGTGACAAAAAATATACTTATGATTATAGGCCAGCATACAAATTTTACCACGTGGTATATAAAAATAAAGGTATAGCTGACCGAAATAGAGGGTGGAGATAAAGGTGTTAATATCCTCATTCTATTAACATGGGAATTGAGAGATATTAGTTAAAATTAAATACATCAACAAAAATCTTGTAAGGAAAAGTTAAAAGCAGTTACTGGCTGGGCGCGGTAGTTCACGCCTGTAATCCCAGCACATTGTGAGGCCAAGGTAGGAGAATCACTTGAGGCCAGGAGTTCAAGACCAGCCTGGGCAACATAGCAACCTGGTCTCTACAAAAAATTTAAAAATTAGCTGGGCATGGTGGTATGCACGTTTAGTACCAGCTACTTGGGAGGCTGAGGCAGGAGAGTGACTTGAAATCAGGAGTTCAAGGTTGCAGTAAGCTATGATAGCACCACGGCACTTCAGCCTGGGCAACAGAGCAAAACCCTCTCAAAAAAAAAAAAAAAAAAAAAAAAAACCAACAAAACCCTACCAAATACCTTATCCTAAGGAGCTGATAACAAATAAGTCATCTCTACTCTCTAAACCTAGATAAACTCTTTAGAGGTAATTGCATTCATTCATTCATTCATTCATTTATTTATGTATAGTGCCACAGTCATTGCTCACTGCAGCCTCAAACTTTTGGGCTCAAGCAATCCTGCCTCAGCCTCTAGAGTAGCTAAGACTACTGACGCAAGCCACCACATGTGGCTAATTTTTGAGGGGGGATGGGGTCTCATTATGTTGTCCAGGTTGATCTCAAATGCCTGGCTTCAAGTTATCCTCCCACCTTGGCCTCCCAAAATGCTGGGATTATGCCACTGTGCCTGGCCAAGGTGTCTGTTTTGATCATGTAAATATATTAATTTATTTTACCTGATGCCCAACATAAATGTGTCCTCATTCTCAAGGAGCCACCTCTGCCCATCAGCCACTCTTTATGTCTACCTGGGCTGGATTGCTTACATTGAATGGTGTATGTGGTTTAGGGATAGTGCCACTCCAAACTGCCCTCAGTAAAGTCTCATACATTTCACATTTTTTGGAGACAGAGTCTTGCTCTGTCACCCCGGTTAGAGTGCAGTGGCATCATCATGGCTCACTGCAACCTCAAACTCCTGGGCTCAAGTGATCCTCCTGCCTCAGCCTCCTGAATAGTTAAGACTGTAAGTGTGCACCACTAGGCCTGGCTAATTTTTCTATTTTTAGTAGAGACAGGGTCTTACTCTTGCTCAAGCTGATATCAAATTCCTGGCTTCAAGCAATCCTCCCAGAGTTCTAGGATTACAGGTGTGAGCCACTGCCTCCGGCCACATTTCATACTTTTTCTTGGCCTGTTAACACTTAGTAAATGAGGATTAACTTCAGGGAATACCTGTTGAGGGAGCCACTTAAAACACACACACTCACAGAGACCTCAGGAAATCAAATTTGTATTAGCATTATTTTAGTCAGTATTTTCCTCATCCAGGTTTATTTGTTTTATGATCATTAAGATGCTCACCTAAACAAGCTATGAAAATACATTACCTCTGATTTTATTTAAACTCTAAAAGTCAGGATACAAAAAGGACATAAACATCTATAAGTACCAAAGCATTTATGACCTTATCATTTTGTGGTGCAAGAAAAGGGACACAGATAAGGCATACAAATAAATTATAACCTTAAGAGTTACATACAAAATTTTCTTTGATTATTTATTAAAATCTGCCAGAAAAGTAAAAGGAATGTTATTTAGCCTTTATAAACAATTGTGAACACAGTGTTTTTTCAATTTCCTGGTCATATGCTCAGGTTAACAGGCACTAGAGACAGCCAGCTTCTTCAAATGATCCATGAACACCTGCAGGCTAACATCGTCAGTTAGGATGGGCGCTCCAGTTTCCTGAAATTTAATGAGAAAAGTTTGTTAGCAGGTATCTTGAAGGCAGATTGGAGTTCATGAGCTGTTAAGGATCTTGCGCCTCAGAACACTCACAGGTGTTGTCCTCTCTGCTAGTACTTCCCATCATTCCCATCCCCTGCCCAGTTAACTATGTCTTTCAAATGGAGCCCAATTTCCTCATAAAACCTTTCCTGCTCCACAGAGATGAGGCCACTGCTGCCTGCTACAGACCCAGTTTTGAGCACATGCCCTTCTACTTCACCCCTCTCCACAGTTCTTATGGCTCACCCAGAGATTAGCTCCCCACTAGTGTGAGCTCCCTGAGGGTGCACATCCTCTCCTCCTCTTCCCCACCATTCTGCCAGCACCTAACCCTAGTTCTTAAGTACTCTGCTTACAACAGAAGCTGAATAATGGTGTATTCACAAATGAGTCAACGAGAGAATCAGTACCTCCACTAAACAGATGGGTATTTGTAATATCAGAAAATGCGTATGATTTAATTAATGTTATGGGAAAAGAACTGAATAGAAACCTCAATTTATAGTAAGACCCCAAATTTGTCAAGGAATAAATATATATATACACACACACATACATACACTTTCTATTACCTAGAAAAAGGCCAGAAATAGTTAACTCTATATAGCGGTTTAGGTAATTTTAATTTTCTTTCTTATTATTTTTTAACATTTAAAATTCTTCTAACATGCAACTGTACTGTTACAAAGTATAAGCATGATTAAAATGTTTTAGGAGGACTTCCAGTTTCAGGAAGAAAGAGTAGATGGTGTTCTTTTCTCTATTCCTCCCACTAAGTACAGCTAAAAACCCTGCCCAATTTTTTTTAGTTTGTTTTTAAGATAGGGTCTTGCTCTGTCATCCAGGCTAGAGTGCAATGGAGCAATTATAGTTTACTGCAGCCTCGAACTCCTGGGCTCAAGTGATCCTCCCGCCTCAGCCTCCTGAGTTGCTAGGACTATAGGCACCTGCTATCATACCAGGCTATTTTTTTTTTTTTTTTTTGTAGTGACAGGGTCTGGCTATGTTGCCCAAGCTGGTCTCAAACTCTTGGCCTCAAGCAATCCTCCTGCCTCAGCCTCCCAAAGTGCTGAGATTATAGGTATGAGCCACTGCACCCAGCCCCTGGACATTTTATATAAACTAACAGAAGAAGACTTTGAAAGGTGGAGAGCAAAAGGCAGACAAACTAGGGACCTTGGGACCCAAAGAACAACACAGTGGTGAGTTCCTTTTAGGTTTTCTTTTTACCTCATATACCCCAAATTTCTAGCTGAATAAGCTGGCAAACTATCATTGAGCACAGACCTAAAAGAAATAAAACAAAAAGTACCTACTTTTTCTAGCCAAATGACCAGATGGGCATAGCAAGATAGAAAATTCTTGGATAATAATCACTGTACTCCAGCCAAAAATGACGGAAGAAACTGTGGCCATGCACCGCCCACTTCAGCAACGGCTGAGTGGGCACTTAAAGCTTCCACCCTCATAAGGCAGTAACAAGGTACCCCAGCACCCCCACCAGGATGGTGGAGAAGGCTAGGTATGGAACCAGGAATTTCATCCCTAATGGCTAATAAGAAATCTCCCTATCCCGATAGTGTCAGAAGCAAAAATAAATGTCCTTCCACTGCCCACTGGGGTGAAATCAGAGGAGGCCTAGTAGAGAGTCGGGACTTTCACTGTCATCCAAGTGTAATGAGGCCGTCTCCACAGCAGTGCCAGTGCAGGCTACCTGGGGAGCTGGAACTCCCATCCCCATTGAGCAGTAACAAGAAATCGCTACTCCCCGCTCAAGTGTCAACAGAGGCCAGCAGAAAATCTGGACTTCTATCTCCACCTGGCAGTAATGAAATAATGCACAACCTCTTCCCTGTCAAGAGTAGTGTAACAAAAAGCCAGCTAAAGTAGCATGTTTAAATAAGATCCAGGGTCTCCTACAAATACTAAAATGTCCAAGTTTCAATCAAAAACCACTTGTCATACCAAGGACCAAGATCTCAAACTGAATGAAAAAGACAATCAGTAGGTGCCAACACCAAGTTGACAGCAATGTTAGAACTATCTGACAAAGGTTTAAAACAGCCACGACAAACGCTTCCATGAGCAATTATGAACACGCTTGAAACACATGAAAAACAGAAAGCCTCAGTAAAGAAATACAAATTCCCAGGAAAGAAGTGGAAGATATGGAGAAGCAAATGGAAATTTTAGAACTGAAAAATACAATAACAAATAAAAAGCTGAGTGGATAGGTTCAATGCAGAAGGGGAAGAGAGATAAGAATCAGCAAACTGGAAGATAATATAATAGAAAGTACTCAATTGAACACAAGAAAGAAAACAGATGGTAAAAACTGAACGGGGCCTCAGGAACCTGTGGTTCTACAACAGATCTAACATTCCTGTCGCTGGAGGTCAGAAAAGAAAGGAAAAAGAAAGCAGCTGAAAAGGTATTCCAAGAAATAATAACTGAAAACTTTCCAATTTTGACAAGAGACATAAATCTACAGAATCAAGAAGCTGAGTAAACCAAAACGGGACAAACCCACACAGAAATCCATGCCAAGACACACTGTAATTAAACTTTTGAAAACTAACAGCACAGAAAAAATACTGAAAGCAGCCAGAGGAAAATGACATCTTATCTATGGGAGAAAACAATGAGAATGACATGAACTTCCCATCAGAAACTATGGAGGCCAGAGGAAGTGGCACAGTATTTTTCAACTGCTTAAAGGAAGGGACTGTCAGTCAGAATCCTATACCCAGAGAAAATATTTCTTCAGACATGAAGGGAAAATCAAGACATTCTCAAATAAAGGAAAACTAAGAATCTATCAGCAGCGGACCCTACCATAAAAGAATAGTTAAAGGAAGATTTCTAAACAGGAAACAGTAGAAGCAAAAATATGAATGAATACAGTTTTTCCTTTTCCTCTTAAGACTTATAAATTATGTTTGATCACTGTCTGTGATATTGTGAAATATATATTTGTTCTTTGTCCCAGCAACTCTTAAAATCCTTACAATCTCCAATGTGCTGTCTTTTTGTATGCTAATATTGACTGATAGCTTCAGGAGGGGGCTAGTCATAGGAGTGACAAAGTCATGATTAGAGAGACTTGGGACTTCCAGCCCCTTTCCCCAACCTCCTGGATGGGGAGAGGGACTGAAGGTCAAGTTTCTCAGCACTGGATAATGTTTTAATCAATTATGCCTACGTAATGAAGCCTCCATAAAAACCCAAGAGGCCAGCGTTTGCAGAGCTCCCAGATAGCTGAACACTGGGAGGCTCCCGGAGGGTGGTGCACCTGGAGAGCACATACCTCGCCAATGCATCTCTTCATCTATGTCCTCTGTAATATCCTACATAAACCAGTAAAGGAAAGTAAATATTTCCTGGAGTTCTGTGAGCCACTCTGGCAAATTAATTGAACCAAAAGAGGGGAATCCCCCTCTTTTGGAATCCCCAACTTGAAGCTGGTTTGTCAGAAGTTCCAGAGATGCAGACTTGGAACTGGTGTCTGAAGGGGGTAGGGAGTGGGCAGTCTTGGACTGAGCCTCATCCTCTGGGACGAGTGTCAGAATTGAATCGAGGATATCCAGCTGGTGTACACTGCTTGTTGGTGGGGAAAAAGCCCCAACCATTTGGTCACGGAAATCTCTGCTGATTGTTGTGGTGTGAGAGCAGAGCAAAAACAGTTTGCATGTTTTTTCAAAACGCTGTCTGATGTGATCCTAAATATATGTAAGAGGAAATATTTAACAGAATTATAATACAAATGGGGGAGAGTAAAGGGATGTAAAGGGAGGTAAGTTCTCTATACTTCACTTGAACTGGTAAAAAGACAGCAATAGTAGTTGTGGTAAGTTATGCATATATAATGTAGAACCTAGGGCAACCAGGAGTAACCACCAAAAAAAAGCTAAATAGCTATACAAAGAGATACACTCGAAAACACTATAAACAAGTCAAAAAGGAATTCTAAAAAATGTTCAAATTACTCATGGGAAGGCAGGAAAAACATACAACCCAGCAAATGTACTCCTGGGCATTATGTCAAAGAAATGAAGACTTACATTCATAAAAAATCTGTGCATGAATGCTTACAGCAGCTTTGTTCCTCATAACCAGAAACTGTAAACATCCCAGATGTCCTTCAACGGGTAAATGATTAAACAAACTGTGACACATCTATGCTATGGAATAATATTTGACAAATAAAAAGGGACAAATTATTGATACCTGCAACAACCTGGATGAATCTCTAGGTAATTATGCTGAGGGAAAAAGGCTAACCCCAAAGGGTTATATACTGTGTGACTTCATATATATGTAACATTCTTGATGACAAAATTAAAGAAATGGCGAAAAGAAGAGCAGTTGCCAGGTGTTAGGAAGGGAGTGGAGGCAGGAGGGAAGTGGGTGTGACTATAAAAGTGCAACCTGAGCTCTTTGTGGCGATGAAGATGTTGTACATCTTGACCATATCAATGTCCATATTCTGGTTCTGATTTTGCAAGATGTTACCACTAAGGGAAAATGGATAGAAGATGGAAGGGATCTCTCTGTATTCTTTCTCTTTTCTTTTCCTCTCTCTCTTTCTCTTCTCCCCTTCCTTCCTTTCTTCCCTCCTCCCTGTCTCCCTCTTCCCCTCCCTCTCCCCCCCTCTTCCCCTCCCTCTCCCCCCTTCTCTCTCCCTCTCCTCCTCCCTCTCTCCCTCCCCCCACCCTCTCTCTCTTTCTTTCTTTTGGGACAGGGTCTCACTACATAACCCAGGCTAGTCTTGTCTCTGTATTATTTCTTAAAACTACATGTAAATTTACTATTATCTCAAAAAAAGTTTAATTAAAAAAAATGTTAGAACAGAATGAAAGAAAAGTCATCTGAAAGAGACAAATTCTGGGAACAATTAGATAAAGAAGTAATTGGGGGAAAAAAAAAAAGAACAATGAAGGAATCAGGGCCTGGAAACTGAAGAGGAGGCAGAAGGATGGTGAGCAGGAGTTCCCTGTGGTCTTGGGAGTGAGGACTTGGGGTACGTTGCTGTGTGGACACGGCCAAATGGAGGCCACAATGCAGGCTTCTGTCCCCTGGCCTGCACCTGGCATGTACACTGTGTGTTGTTATGCAAAGCAGCAGTCCCCAAGTCCAGGGCCACAGACCAGTACTGGTTACCAGCCCCCCGCACCAGTGGAAAAATTGTCCTTCATGAAAATGAAACTTAGAAAAAGGGGGGAGGACACAGCAGGAGGGGAGCAGCCAGCAAGCTGAAGCTTCATCATGGCCACACCCCATCACTTGCATCACCGCCTGTGCAAATTGGAGGCAGCTCTTCCCACCCCCAACCCCCATTTCCTGCCCAGCTATGTTATCCAAAGTTGTATCTTCCACCCCCCCAGAAAAATACTCAAGTAATTCTGTTTCTGGGCCAAAAGGGACCCAATCTGTAAAATTTTAAAACAAATTTTTTAAAAAGTAGCCTGGCATCCTCTCCAAATACCTGACATTTCTTACCTGTCCCCAGGCATACAGGTTATTGTGTGTCTGAGATGGGTTCACTTTGGACAAAAGGAATCGAGCCTTTAAAAAAAAAACAAGTTTAAAGATCAAATGACATTAATATTAGTGTAATAGAAAAAAGTAAAATAAGTTTTTATAACAATTCTTCGGTTAAACTGGAAATCATTTTACTGAGGAGGAACCTATTTCTTTAGCGTAAACCCACTGGCTCTCCGGTTATTAAGAATCCTGAGATGTGAAATATGTATTTTACTTTGGCAATCCTCTACTCTTACATCAGCATATTTTGACTACTCATTTAAAAAGAAGTCATATTTGGAAGATTACCTGTATGTCAATTTATGTCACCACATAAAATATTAACCACCCTTTTTGGATATATGGCTATAAAATATATCATAAAATAGGACATTAGAGCCGGAATTCAGCTCCATACCTGACTGCCACCATGCTCCGTGTTAATGTAACGTGGCATTGGGAACCGCGCCTGTAGAATTTCTTGAGCATCATCCAGTGGTGCCTGCAGAAGGTGCTTGAAGTTTTTGTACTCGGCCATGTCCTGGTACCCAGCTTTACGCCACTGGGCTATGGTCTACACCAAAACAAACCAACCAAAACTATTGTGGAAACTGTAATGACAGCCTTCATGGACATGCGACATTTCACCACCACCACCACCCAGAACTTGTTTCCAGTGAAGTCTTATGTCAAAGGTGACAAGTTTCAGAGGGAGAGCAAAGCAGAGTGACTAGAAGGAGAAGCAGGAATAAGCGAAGAGTGTGCATCCAGGATACCCCCACCTGCTCAGTTCTCCCAGAAATGTCAGTCATCAGCCAGGCCTCCTCTCCCTTCCTAACTGTATGCACCAGTTAGTTAGCAAAGCCCGTGGATTAATTAACCCAAGGAACCATGGCCTCCCCCCCCTTTCACTCCCACTGTTACCACTCAGTCTAGCCTCTCATCTCCTCATACCTGGTAGGGAAGGGAAAGGGATTTGTTGGCTGCCCTCATAGAATCCATCCCCCCATTTCCCTTTTCCTAACAGCACATGTATTACACGCCTCCTCTGGAGCCCAATAATCAAAAGACCGGGTAGAGGCCGCGCACAGTGGCTCACGCCTGTAATCCTAGCTCTCTGGGAGGCTGAGGCGGGTGGATCATTTGAGCTCAGGAGTTCGAGACCAGCCTGAGCAAGAGCGAGACCCCGTCTCTACTAAAAATAGAAAGAAATTAATCGGACAACTAAAATATATAGAAAAAAAAAAAAAATTAGCCGGGCATGGTGGTGCAAGCCTATAGTCCCAGCTACTCGGGAGGCTGAGGCAGGAGGATTGCTTGAGCCCAGGAGTTTGAGGTTGCTGTGAGCTAGGCTGACGCCACGGCACTCTAGCCTGGGCAACAGAGCGAGACTCTGTCTCAAAAAAAAAAAAAAAAAAAAGACCAGGTAGAATCCGTCCATCCCTATCCCTAGCTCCCCCAGGTCCTGAGTTGGGATACTCTTGGCAGGGAGCTAAAAGGATTCCAACCCTAGCGGATATCCACATCTGAGGATGCTTAAGTCCCTGATATAAAATGGAGTAGTATTTGCATATAATCTATGCACATCCTCCCCCAAATTTTAAATCATCTCTAGATTACTTATAATACCTAATACAATGTAAATGCTATATAAATAGTTGTTATACTTGTATTTTTTATGCTGTATTGTTATTTATTTATTTTTTAATATTTTTGACCCATGGTTGGTTGAATCCACAGATGAGGAATGCACAGATACAGAAGCCGGCTGCATTGCTACTAAGGGAACCGTGGGAGGAGTAACTAGTTACCCAATGACCCTTGGTCTAGGACAATTACTGACAGTCTAGCAGTCTAGCATCTGTGAGCAAGTGGCTAGCACAGTGGGTGTTAATATGCTGAAAAAAAGTTTTAAAAGTTATAAAATATCTGTTAGTATTAGAAAACTAATACTTCCTAAGTAATCAAGGGAATTCTGAAACACAATTTACATCTTTTTAGGACACACAAAATCATTCCTAATGTTCAGACTTTAGGCAGCCAAATAAATCACCAAAGCAATTTAATGAAGATAAAGAACATACAATAGAAGAAAAGGCATCACTGAATATAATGCTCGATTAAAGGATTTTTTTCCCATAAAGATGCAAATAATTCAGAGGAGACATTCCCTTTCTTAGGGTATGAAACCCTCTGAGGAAGAAACAGACTTTCCCCAGAAAGCCATCTACAGCCATCTCAGGGATCCACAGACTCAGCATAACGTTCCCTGTGCCACATTATTTCAGTAAAGAAAAACTTTAGCCCCAAACTCTAACATAACTCTGAAAGGAGAGTAGTGTGTATAAAATGTTTGCTGAGAATGAATAAACTAGTCTTGCCTAACAACTTAGAAAGTTATAAATTATAATGATTTAAAAGTACCATTTGAGATTTACTTACAGTAATTATTAATTTAAAAAAAATTTTTTTACCTTTTTTTACAGACAGGGTCTCACTCTGTCACCCAGGCTGGAGTGCAGTGGCACAATCATAGCTCACTGCAGCCTCAAACACCTGGCCTCAAGTGATCCTCCCACCTTTGCCTCCTAAAGCACTGGGTTTATAGGTGCGTGCTACCACACCAGCCAGTAAATATTAATAAAATTACTAAATATACAAATATTCTCAGGATCTGAAAAAAGATTTTATTCAGTAGAACAAAAGCCACTGCACTTAGTATTATAATACACTGAGGTTTTCTAAACCCAAATTCATGTTTCAAATGTGACTAAAAATCTAAATTAATAAATAGGAAGAAAGCAAAAATATAGTAAAGAAAGAAATTCGTATCTTACCTCACCAAGATAAATGACAATTTGAAAGAAAGTATCCATCAGCAAAATTCTGTCAGCTAGAATGCTGCTGCTGTCCAAGAGTACTGGCTGAAGAAAAAGGAAGAGAGACAGATGGCGTTGGCCTTCCCTGGTCCCCATGTAGTGATCACTCCCACCCCTTGTCCGGTGTCCACAGCAATGCACAGGCTGTTTACAAATGGTGCCCAACACAGTGGCCCGCCCCTCTTCCTGCCATGCATCCACTTTCTGCTCCTGACTCAGTAGTTCTCAGACTCAACTTCACAGAAAACTCAGGATCCAAATACTCCCTCATCAACTGGGAAGAGAGATTAACGATATCTTTTGATCTAGGAACTAGAAACAATTCTCAATATTCTCAGTTTTGTACTGGACATGGGTTTTATCAACCAGAGTGAGTTTCTCTCAAATCTACTACAGCTGTAGATGAGACAGAACAGGAATGTCTATATGAAAAATAGCATTTAATACAAGTTTTTCGAGTTGAATACAAAATATATTTTATTATGATTTTTATTTCAATAATAAAATGAACTTGTATTCATTAAAGAAAATTTAAAAATTTGTAGCCAAATACAACAAATATTGATAATGAACATTTGGATTGTTATCCATTTTTCTTTTATAACAGTTCATTTACTATTTCTTTGCACAAAGCCTGTTGTTTCTAGCAGTATTTCTTTTAGACACATTATAAGACATGAAATTACTGGATCAAAGCATATGAATGCATTAAAAAGAAGTACCCATGTATTTTTAAAGTTTTTTACATTTATTCCATCTTCCACAAATAATAGCTTTATATGTGCTTTGATTTCTTCCTATAGTTTTTAATACTCAGAAATACTGTTAAATTATTATAAAAACTCCAAAGATTTTTTATTTGTTTTTTTACATTTTGCTCTAAGAGTAAATTTCCTAGAAAAAATATATATGAGGTGATTCCAATTCCCAGAAGAGCATTCAGGTCAAAGCTTACCTCTGGAGGCCCCTGGAAGGAATAGGAGTAGAGAATGGGCTGGATCATGATGAGGGACTGGGTCAGATCCTGCCGGGCAAAATGGTGTCTGTAATAGGACGACTCGTCGGGGCTGTTGTTAAACACTTGCAGAAATGGAGATCTTCTAAGATGGAACATGAACTGCATTTACAAAGAAAAAAAGGCAAATGCATATAGCTGCAACCTTCGCAGACACCCAGAGAGCAGATCCACCTCGGGCCTCTGAAACAGGAGAACCCAGGTTTTAAGGTGGGACCAGGGGCTGGTAGAAGAGGAAAACGGGGAGTTGTTGTTTAATGTGTACAGAGTTTGTTTTGAAAGGTGAAAAATTCTAGAGATCAGTTTACAGCAATGTGAATATAGTTAACATTACTCAACTGTACACTTAAAAATGGCTAAGATGGTAAATTTTATGTTTTTTACCACAATTAAAATTTTTAAATATTTTTTTCCTTCAATAAAAGGGCCTCTGGATCTGTCCAAGCTTCCACATGAAAGGGGAAAGGCAAAGAAATGTTTATTCCCAGAGTCACTAGGCCAAGCTGTGGAGATAGAGTGTCTGCTCTCCAAGAAGTCAGGTCCAGTGGGAGGAGGCACAGTTGGGGCTTCAAGTTACAAGCCACAGTACAGGAAGTACTTTTGGGGTGGGGGTGAAGGGCCAACAGGAGACTTCCCAAAGCTATGAGGTCTGAGGACACACCCTGAGAGACATGCCTGAGGAGGCCAGAGAGCTGGGGCAGAAGGGGGAGTCCAGGCACAGGGACAGAGCTCAGGACACAGGCTGGTAGATTGGAGTAAGGAGTGCAGAGGAGGAAGGGACAAGAGGTAATACTGAAATGGTATGTTTTTCACCCTGATTAGAAGGAAGCGGGGGACAGACTTTTAGCTCACCCTAAAGAGCTGTTAGAACATGAAAATGAGCTGCCTTGAGAAGAATAAAGCTTCCCGAGACTCCAAATATTGAATCATAGGTTCCTAAATAATAACCAAGGCTGACATTCAATACATCTTATGTGCAAGGCACAAAGCACTTGACAAGAATTATTTAATCCTTCCAATAAGCCCATGAGGTAGGTTCTCTTATAGTCCCTAGTTTACAGGTGAGGAAACTGAGGCACAGAGGGGCAAGCAAGTTGTCCAAGGTCACCCCACTACTGAGTGGCATAGCTGGACTCTAATCCAGGCCATCTGGGTCCGAGACTGGGCTCTTGACCTCTATCCTAGAACGCCTTGGTGGAAGGAATATTAGAAACCATCTCATGTGGTGATTTTCAAATTACGCTCTTCAGAGTCTTGGCAAATCCTCAGTGGAGGCTATAGTGGGACTGTGGAGGGTGGTATGTGGGCACAAGCAAGCAGCACCATGTCTGTCTGCTTTATGTGCTGGCTTTTGAGGGCGGGTCCTCTTGAAGAAAGGGTTCCACGGCTTTAAAAAGATTGCAAACCACTTCTCCAGACCACCTGCTTCCTTCTAAAGATGAGGAAACCAAAATCTACAGAAGTCCGAGACTGTGTCTAAGATCAGCAGCAGTGGGGCCAGTGCTTAACTCTGCCCTGACTCGGGCCGGTCTAGGGCTCTTCCCACAACACCACATGGCCTCAACCTCTAGGTCATGGGCACCTGAAAGTCCCAGGCCCCACTGTCAAGCTGGCTCACATTTAAAGCTTTGAGCATGTGCCTGGCACCACACTAAATATTTAATACTCGACTGGCCTCAGCTCCTGTAATCCTCACAGCCACCCACTGAGCTAACCTCTATTTCCTCATCTACAGATGAGGATGGAGATTCAGAAAAGACAGAAACACAGATTCATGCCAGTGGCTTCCTGTTCCATCTCTTTCTCTCCCTCCCTTCCTTTACCCAGTGGCTCCCAAATGCTTGGCTCATGTATAACGTGGTTACCTTCAGGAGCCGGTTGTTGTCAATCCCTGGTTATGGTGTAGCATAATAACCACACACATATTATTAAATATTTGTCATATTAACAGTGGTTTTGTTACATTCACCTTCACGTGTGCTCATTTTTTTGGTTTGTTACTGAGACAGCTGATTGTTCACCCAGAACCTCTACATATTAGAGGTTTTGTTGTGGCCTTATGTCAATGATCCTACTTTGCCGTTTCATGAAAATTTTTGCACTTATTTTCTTTTCTCTGCGTGTCATCTTTGTCTTTTGTAGGGCTTAGGGTACTGTCTTGCAGAAACACAACATTTGTCTTGAGTTCAACAACCTTTGTCAACTACAGACTGAATCTCAAAACACAAAAAGTCTTCACTTTACCCTGAGAACAGAGAAGTTTATTTCTATCACAATCTATTGTTCTACAGTTATTTTTAAAATATGTATTACTTACCTGAGGATATAGAGAAAAGGAATCTGATAACCTAAAAGAAGTGGGGTCTTCTTTGTTATACTGTCCAAACTTCTGACACTGATGAAAGAAAATACCAAAAAGAGAGAAAAACCTAAGTTAGTGTTACCCGAAAAAAAACCCTTGGACTAAGAGTTAAGTTCTGATCTTAACTCTGCCCCTTACTGCGAGTCCTGAACTTCTCAAGCATCAAAGGGCAGACAGATCACCAGGGGGTCTTATTAAAATGCAGGCTCTGGGACGAGTTGGAGAGTCTGCATCTCTAACCAGTTCCCAGGCAATGCTGGCCTGAGGACCACCCTGACCGCAGAGAAGCCTGATAAGCTCTCTCAGGTGCCTCTTCCACATGAAAACCCTCTGAGACTATGAAAACTAGCAATTATAGACACATCCAACATACACTCACACTACAGCTCAGATTTCTTCCTCCTTTCGATGGCATGTTTCTGAACCACGTTTCTTCCTGCCTTTATTTCTGATCTTACATTTCCTCTGGCCACTAGAGAATTAGGCTGTCCACCATTTAAAGAAACCCCACCTCTAACAATTACCTTCTCCCTACAAAATCTGGCATCCTTTCGCAGTTGTCATCTTCTTGAACTTCCCAGCAGCAGGAGTCAAGTGACCTCCCAAACTTCTTGAAACTTTCTCCTTCAGCTGCTGAAATATCGCTTTCCTGTTTCTTGTCATCTCTCCACCCAACCCTCCTCTGCCTTCTTCAGTGGCTCCTTGTCTTCCTCCATCCTCCTAACCGGGGACTCCTCTGAGGTTAGTTCTTGGCCCCCTGCTTCCATCCTCACTGCTCAGCTACAAATGAACACCAGAGCCAGACACATGTCATCCAGATCCCTCCCCCAGGTCCAGTGCTGACCTCTAACCTAAGCTCCCATCGGACTTCCACCCAAACACAGGACAGCTTTCCCTGAACATACTTTGGCAAGTGCACATTCAACTATCAAAAGTAAACTATTATATTTAAAAAAAAAAGATTCACCTTCTCCTATTCTAATGTTGCGCTCCTTTCCCATTTTCTACCTCACCATCATTCTCGTAGTCACCCACATGTGAAAATTTCTCTGTGCTTTTTGATTCTACATAAAATCAGAGATTCTTCATAGAACCAAACCTTCTGCTCCCTACATATCTACTGCCACCACCCTGGTCTCAGCGCCCTTGTATCTGCAAAATCCTCCATCACAACAGGAGCCTTTTCTCCCTACAGTGTGCCCTTTATGGCGATGTTAATGTGAACACAGTGTCATGTCGATGTCACAGCCCGCTTAAGAATCACCCCTAAGTCTCCTTCTTAGGGATAAAGTTAAGGTGTTCCCCAATCAAGGTGTATCTTCACTGCCTCTGTTCCTCACCATACAACCTGGCGTCCGTGACAATGGTCTCTCCAATGTCCCCAGCATAAGTTGAAAGGCCTGGCTACCTCCCACACGCCTGTTCATGCCAGGCCTCCACTCAGTAAGCTTTGCCTTCTCCTCTCCTATCATCTGACTCTTTATCAAAAGAGGTGATTCGAGGCTGTCTTCCCACATGAAGCCTTTGTTAACCACTTGGACCCTCTGCTTGTCTATCCTCCCTGTGAAATCCTAGAGGAACAATTTTCAAATTGTGTTTGAAATGACACTTCCTGGAAAACGGTTCCATGAGATGGCAAGGGCAAATGCAGAGCTAAACAAGTTAAACAGGTTTCCTTACCAGACCCTTCAGTGCCTTTGATCACGCATTCATGCTGTGAATCTCCAGAAAGGTAAGATTCTGTAGCATGTCCATTATTGATTTACTGCCTCCTGGCTCCCAATTCACCCCTTTTGCCTGCTGTGAAATGGATGTGGACCCTTTAACTGCTTCTCCTTTGCCAGCTGGCACGATGTCAAGCTTTGTCAGTAGAGGGCGCTGGAGGCCAGCATCAGCTTTGGGAGCCAGCGTGCTCACTCGGCAGCTTCCCTGGTGCCAGGTCCTGCAGCAGCACTGCAGTGTCCCCAGCGCTGAGCTCCTGGAGCACAGGGCAGCCAGCAGCTACCCCAGCACTCCCCTGAGCCTCTGCTGAGACACTTTTCTGTGAACAGTTTTCCCCAGCACCTAGAGGGTGCAAAATTCTAGAGAGTGAATTTCTAGCAAGTTCCTCTGGCACACCACCATGGCAACTTCTCTGTGAAAGACTCACTGACCTATGGCCGCGCCCTCCAAACTAGGTCTAGATCAGCCCTGGGGAGAGAGGGGTCTTCCTTGAGTGCTCTATCTCAGCCCTACGAGTAGTGGCTACCCCTTAGATCTGCTGGTTTTTACTTCCTACTAGTCAATCCTTCATTATTTTACTCCCCTGTCGTAGTAGTAATTCTTTATATAAAACTTTCCCCATTTAAATTACTATGTGATTTCTCTCTCCCAATTGGACCCAGACTGATAAAAGAGGCATCTTTCTAAACTCACTGGCCATCCCTATATCCAAAACAATCTCCCAGATCTGGAGGGAAAATACAGGACCACAGCCTTCGCAAAATGACTCATCTAATTCAGCTCTTCACATGCACAGATTTCCATCTCTCCAAATGTTCCGTGTGTGTTGTTCTTCCCACCGAGGGGAAAAACGCATATTTAACACTTCTTTCATGTCACTCAGATATGTCTGGCACAAGATAAGCAAGTGATAAAATTCTTGCTGACTGGCTATATAAAACAATAGGTTTAAGTGACAATTTTCTCCTCTCAAAAGTAGGGCAGAGACCAAGACTGAACCTAACGCCATTGTTCCCAATTTACCAGTCGGATGAGTTGTCGGTCCAGCCACCGGAGCACGTCAGGCCCCTCTTCTGACTCTGCTCGGAATACTCCCAGCCGTGCCATCAAGACTGCTGCGGCTTCCTGGTCGAATGCTGCTTCTATGTGCCTGAGCTGACTCTGCGCATCTGCCCAACTGACAATTTCAGAGTTAGTGCCATGCTTAAGTTCAGGAGAGATCAGAACACCAGACGTCCATTTTGATAAAGAAACACAAATCCTGTTCCTTCATCTAAGACAACACAAATTTGAATGTTATTTTCCATAAGGAATTGCAGGAGTTTTATATACATTTCAGTTACCCTTATCTGATCTCTGAAGGCTGTAACTTTAAAAGAAAAATTATACGGAACTTCCCCATGTTCTGCAATACATCATGAAAGTAGATACCCAAAAGGTACTAAGTCTCAATCCAGTGTTACTTCTAGGTCAACCTTAAAAAAATCTAAATGTTTACAAATTCACAAAATGACTTTCCAGCATCATATCCATGGGAAAAAGAAATAGTACATATACAGAGGTTTTCCAGATGAATAAAGACATCATGAACAAAGCTAAAAGACAAGAGATAGACCAAGAACAGACACGTGCAACAAATATAACAATAATCATATCCAAAATAAAGAGTCTTTGCAAATCACTGAGTAAGAAAAAGAAATAGGTTTTATAAAATGGGCAAAGGCTATCACAGAAGAAATACAGTATGGCTAAGAAATATGAAAAAGTACTCAACTCATTGATAAGTGGGAAAATACAAATCAAAGTGACACAGTGCATGTTCTCTCTATATATACCTATATTTGCATGTTAAAAATTGATAATATCCATTGTTAATGAGGAGACAGGGCACTTCGCCCCTTACACTATGGGGCAAAGTACAAATTAGCTTCTCAGGAGAATAGTTCTTCAGTATCTAAAATTTCACTTCTATAAAGTGGATGGAAAGAAATATTCATGTGCACAAAGACCTGAAAATATCAACGCAAGCACTGTTGGAAGGCAAGACCTTCAACAGAGGAGTGGTCTAACCCATCTAAACCATATGATACTATGTAACCACCAAAATTAATGAGATACGGGCTTGCAAATTGAAGATTTACAAAGATAGATAAAGATATAGAGAAAAGATATGTAAATATCAGAAGCTGCAGTACATGTATATCATAAACATATATGGTATATAAGTTCACAGAATGGAGTGAAGTTAAACGCCAGTAATAGCATTTCCCTATGGGGAGGATGAGTGAACAGATCCACTCTTTACATACAGTTGGCCCTCTGTATCCATGGGTTCTGCATCAGCAGATTCAAGCAACCACAGATCAAAACTGTAGTTAGGCCAACTGGTTGCATCTGTACTAAACATGTATAGGCTTTTTTGTCATAATTCCCTAAACAATACAGTAAAACAACTATTTATATAGCATTTACATTGTATTAGGTAGTAATCTACAGATAATTTAAAGTATATGGGAGGATGGACATAGGTTATATGCAAATAATACACCATTTTATGTAAGAGACTTGAGCATCCATGGATTTAGTTATCCACAGGGGTCCTGGAATGACTGTACTTATGTGATGCTTAAATCTTTATGAGGAGGATGTATTTACAGGCTACTTATCTAATAAAATAATAAAAAATAATTTTTAAGGAACTACATTCATACAGAAAGATGATTCCTCTAGATAAAGCGTTCTTAGGCCAAACTGGGTTAACCAGAAATGCCGCCTCCTCCTCCCCTTGCTCAGACTAAATAAGCCAGTGAGGACTGTTCAGAACCACTCAATGAATCAAAAAGACAAACTAACAGATGTTAAAATATCTCTTCAGAGGAAAAACGTCAGTCAGTGGCTCCACAGAGAGGAAGCTGCAGCTGCTTACTTTCGGGCAATGGTGGTCACACGGATGCGTCTCTGGGTGCTGGAGTGTTGATACTGTGTGACAAACTGGATGGCGCCTCTGCCTCCTTGGGGGATCGGAGAGTTGTGCTGTGGGATGAGAGGCCATAACCTCGTTACTGTTACAGGCATGATTCAAATACAAATAGAGCCCATCATGCTCTTCTAAAACAACTGATAGCAATAACAGTAATGAATTTTGAATGGCACACTTAGTATCTGCACATTTCACTGTATATAACTTTCACCTCAAAAAAAAGAAGAGCCACATTCAATATTGAACTCAAGTTAATGAAATGCATGTTAAAGTGTTTAGGGACGAAATACACTGATGATTATGATTTGCTTTGAAATGCATCAAAAATAAAATGGATTAATGGATCAATATATATGTAACAAAGCAAATGCAGTCATACCTCATTTAATTGCGCTTCACAGATACAGTGTTTTTCTGTTTTGTTTTTTTTTTTTAACAAATTGAAGGTTTGCATCACACAAGTCTATTGTCTACTGGCGTCATTTTTCCAACAGCACGTGCTTGCTTCATGTCTGTGTCATTTTTTAGTAATTCTTGCAATACTTCAAACATTTTCATTATTATTGTATTTGTTATGGTGATCAGTGATCTTTGATGTTAATTGTTTTGGGGTGCCACAAACTGTGCCCATATAAGACGGTGAACTTATTCAATATATATTATGTGTGTTCTGACCATTCTACCAACTGGCCATTACCCCATCTCTCTCCCTCTCCTTCAGCCTTCCCTATTCCCTGAGACAAAACAATTTTGATACTTTAAAACTAATACTTTAAAATGGCCTCTAAGTAGTCAAGTGAAAGGAAGAGTCTCTTACTTTATACTAATATTAAAAATGATCAAGCTTACTGAGGAAGCACGTTGAAAGTTAAGACAGGCTGAAAGCTAGGCCTCTGGCACCAAACAACCAAGTTGTGAATGCAAAGGGAAAGGTCTTGAAGAAAATTAAAGTGTGACTTCAGTGAACACACTAACGATAAGAAAGCCCAACAGCCTTATTGCTGATATGGATAAAGTTTTAGTGGTCTGGATAGAAAATCAAACCAGACACAACATTCTCTTAAGCCAAAGCCTAACCCAGAGCAAGCCCCTAATTCTCTTTAATTCTAGGAAGGCTGACTGAGGAAATTGCAGAAGAAAAGTCTGAAGCTGACAGAGGTTAGTTCATGGGGTTTAAGGAAAGAAGTCATCTCCATAACAGAAAAGTACAAGGGGAAGCAGCAACTGCTAATGTAGAAGCTACAGCAAGTTATCCAGAAGATCTAACTAAGGTCATTGATGAAGATGGCTACACTCACACAACAGATGTCCAGTGTGGATGAAACAACCTTCTATTGGAAGAAGATGCCATTTAGGACTTTTCTAGTTAGAGGGACAAGTCAACGCCTGGATGCCTGGCTTCAAAGTTTCAAAGGACAAGCTGACTCTCTTCTTAGGGGCCAATGCTCATTTACCATTCTGAATATCCTAGGACACGTAAAAATTATGCTAAATCTATTCTGCCTGTATTCTATAAATGCAACAATAAAGCCTAGATGATAGTACATCTGTTCACAGCATAGTTTACTGAATATTTTAAGCCCACTGTTGAAATCTACTGTTCAGAAATAAAGACTCCTTTCAAAATATTACTGCTTACTGACAATGCATCTGGTGACATCACCTGGTGACATCAAGAGATGTATAAGATTAATGTCATTTACATGCTTGCTAACACAATGTCCATTCTGCAGCTCATGGATCAAGGAGTAATTTCGACTTTCAACTCTTATTATCTAAGAAATACATTTCGTAAGGCTATAGCTGCCATAGACAGCGATTCCTCTGATGGATCTAGGCAAAGTAAATTGAAAACCTTCTGGAAAGGATTTACTATTTTAGATGCCATTAAGAACATTTGTGATTTGTGGGACGAAGTCAAAATATCAACATTCACAGGAGCTTGGAAGAAGCTGATTCCAACCCTTATGAATGACTTTGAGGGGTTTAAGACTATAATAGAGGAAGTCACTGCAGATGTGGTGGAAATAACAAGAGAACTAGAATTAGAAGTGGAGCCTGAAAGATGGGACTGGATTGCTGCAATCTCATGATAAAACAGGAATGGATGAGGAGTTGCTTCTTACGTATGAATAAAGTAAGTAATTTCTTGAGATGGAATCTATTCCTCATGAAGATGCTGTGGACATTGTTGAAATGACAAGAAAGGATTTAAAATACTGAATAAACTTAGTTGATAAAGCAGAGGCAGGGATTGAGAGGACTGACTCCAATTTTGAAAGAAGTCTACTCTAAATAAAACGCTGTCAAACACCATCTCATGCTACAGAGAAATCTTTCATGAAGGGAAGAGTCAACTGAAGTGGCAAACTTCATTGCTGTCTTATTTTAAGAAATTGCCACAGCCACCCCAACCTTCAGCAACCATGATCCTGATCAGTCAGCGGCCATCAACATCGAGCACCGCCAGCAAAAAGATTATGACTCGCTGAAGGATCAGATGATCGGTAGCATTTCTTAGCAATACAGTTGACTCTTGAACAACACAGGTTTGAACTGCACAGGTCTGCTTACACGTAAATTTTCTTCTGTCTCTGCCATCCTTGAGACAGCAAGACCAACCCCTCCTCATCCTCAGCCTATTCAATATGAACACAATGATGCTTAAGACCTTTAACATCCACTACCACTTAATGAACAGTAATATATTTTCTCTTCCTTATGATTTTCTTAATAACATTTTCTTTCCTCTAATTTACTTAATTGTAAGAGTACAGTATATAATACATATAACATACAAAATATGTGTTAATCAATTTTTATGTTATCAGTAAGGCTTCTAGTCAACAGTAGTAGGCTATCTGTAGTTGTATTTTGGGGGGGTTTAAAGTTCTGTGTGAATTTTTAACTGTGTGGGGGTTTAGTGCCCCTAACACTTGAGTTGTTCAAGGGTCAACTGTAAAGTATTTTTTAATTAAAGTATGTACATTTTTTTAGACATGATGCTATTGCACACTTAACATACTATAGTATAAACATTAAACGTAACTTTTATATGCATTGGGAAACCAAAAAACTCATGTGACTTGCTTTATTGCGGTGGTCTGGAACTGAACCCCAATATCTATCAGGTATGCCTGTACAGTAAAATGTCAATTATAGAATCTAGGTGACAGGCAGTGGGTATATGGTTGCTCACTATATGATTCTTCTAATTTTTCTGTATGTTTGTAATTTTTCATAATAAAATATTGGGGAAAGAACTGACACTCAAATATTCACCAACATTAGGATGGATGGTAAAAGCCAATACTCTTCTAACGATCCTATTAGTTCAACAATAAAGCGACAAAGCATTTTCTGTATAACTCTGAATAAACCCTGGAAGGAATAAAAAAAGATCATGCCAGACTAGCATCGGGCCTAAAACACCACCAAAGTTGTGTCAGTTTGTGGAGAAAGTAACCAGATGCACTGGTTTGTAATAAATCAGAAAATAGGACACTAAGACATGAAGACATGTGAAGAAATCCCACTTACCTGATTGACTACTTCAAAGTAAATGCCAAGTGTAGATGTGGGATCCAAGCCACAGATTTTCCACTGACTCGTGCCACCGACACCAAGCTCCTGCGAGTAAGAAGAGGAATTGAAAAAACAGAACCAAAACCACTCCATGGTTCACTATTTATGAAAAGTGCTAACTGGGTAGGGCAGGCCACTTAGAATATCTTCTTCTAGGTGAAAATTTTAGTTTAATTGAAAATTTTCTATTAAAAAAAGTATAATTATGGACCAGGAGAAGGCTTAACATTTACATTTACAGTAATTTAAGGTTTTCATACTGGCACTCTGACCAACTTCCATTACATCACATATATTATGCAACATATACGGTATATAACACTGAAGTCAACAAAGAATCAAGTCAGGGTTGAGGAAGAAGTAAACAGTAGGAGGAAGAATTACCTACTTAGTGTGAAAGTTTTATGTACTTCTTTAATCATCATTCTTAGAACAAGAAATAAAAAGCTGTAGAGCTTAGCTATAAGATATGAATTTTTAATCCATTTTTTAATGCAAAAAGCTCAGTAAGAGAATTAAGGAGATTATAGTAGTAAGAAGGGTCCTTTTTACTGATTACTGCAATGGCACCAAGTGATAAATATGAGATTCACTGAAATGTGAAGCTGAATATCAGTGTTTTAATCATGAAATGTTTAGAGGAAAAGGCCACAAATGTCAAAACTACTGAGATCACTAGACTCTGAAACCTATATTCTATCATTCTAGAGGTGATGAGTACTATACATGCTAACACACCCTTATCAAACTGTGGAATACTGTGCTTAGAAAGTAATGTGTTAAGAGAGTCATGATGTTTCTTCTGTATTACTCTGAATCCACCCACACTACACACTGTCAGCTTAGTACAGCTGATGCCAGTCTGGTCTCTCTACAAAGCCATGTCAGGAGCCTATGTAATTGACCGCAGAACAAGCACTCTCAGGAAGGTGACAGTCAGAGAGAAGATTCTTACATGAAATCACACAGCAACTCTAAGGTGGAGACCAGGAGGGTGCACTCTGTTCCCTTAGTACTTCCTAAGCTGGGTCATGACATGGATGGATGGATGGGAGTTCACCTTTTCTTTTAGTAGCCTTTTCTAAAAGAGGCAGGGGTTTATCAACTGCTAGAAGGTAAAGCACTGCGCCCAGAAGAAACGGTAAAGAGTCAAAGGAGCTTTTGTGCTTCCCCTCTTGCCTCACGAACCCCTCTCTAGGCACCAGACCCAGTGTGGCCACAAACACTCCAGAGCTCCAAAACAACACTGTCTCACCAATACACAAAACCCTTACTTAAGCACTTAGCCTTTAAATGTCTTTATTGGGGCAACTGTAAAGACAGAATTAGGAAATCACCATTTTATAAATTCTAAAGAGATAAATCCATTCAAGTAAAGATAATCAAGGCTAAAACTATTAGGCTGTTGGCAAACAAAATTTTCATATTGTACTATTAAATACGATCTCATTCAACAGATTTCTTGCTAATGGCAAATGGAAAACAGGCCCTTACAATGGGAAGGCACAAGGTGGTCACCACTTTTACCATGCGCTCTAACTCAGCACCACTAACATGGGACCAGGGGACATAGGTGCCTCTGGATGTAACACAGCACAAAGTACACACCACCCAGAAGCATGGTTGGCAAAAAGGCTTAGCCTGAATCTAATCACCCTTTAATTCTAACTTCCATCTTACAAGAAATACAGGGAGGAAAAAAACAAGTCAACCACCACCTTGAGGAGAAAATCATTGAGAATGTGGGATCTTCTATTAGAGAAGACACCTGGCACTGTCTCTTTAACAAATGAACGTCATTTAATTTTTTAAAAAGTAAATAAATAAACAAACGAACAAAAAGATAGGAACAGTATTCTAGTTTTTTTTAACAAACTAAGGATATATAATACCAAATGCAAAGCTAGTTGGGGGTTAAAATAGCTACAAAGGGCAGTTGAGGGAAAATTAGGGACAAGATATTAGGAAATTATTGTTAATTTTCTTAGGTTTGATAATGACATCATGGTAGAAGAATACTATTTTTTGAAAATGCACATTGAAGTACTTAAGGGCTAAGTGTCATGATATCTGCAAATTATTTTCAAAGGTCTGCAAAGAAAGCTGATAAAGCAAACATGGCAAATAGATAATAATCAGATCAAACGAATGTGGCAAAAAAGATGACACAGAAGTTATGGCAAAATGTTAACAATTACTGACTCTAAACGGTAGGTATACAGGGATTTACCATACCCTTCTTCCGTATGCCACATTTCCCGCCCCATCAGGACTTGGGCCTCCCACGAGCAGCGCCGGGGAGTGGGTTTTCTGTATGCCACATTTCACTTACACCCTTCTCTAAACTTCTCTGTATGCTTGAAGACTATATTTTCCTCCTCTTTGCATCCTCATTCTCCAGTCAAAACTTTCATGGTTGAACTCTACTGGAACAGCTAATCTATTTGTACTAATTCATAAAAATATCTTCTTAAACTACTTCATGAAGCCTTCATCAGGCATATTTCAAGTTGGTGGAAATTATTTTAGAACGGGGCAGCCTTCCAAAGCCCTGCCAGGAAATAGGGGTCCAAGCCCCTTAGCACTCTGGGATAATGAGGATTCATCAGAGGAGCTTTCAGGCAGCAACCTGTCTCACCCAGGGGACTACAGGAAGGTTCTCTCAAATCGCCTCGCCTCTGCCAGGCTTGACAAAAGTTTAATCTGAGTAGTCACTCAGGAATGTTTGTCGCTGACAAAGATGATGATGTGAAAGACAACATCTCCTACGGGCTTCCAGTGTTCCAGGCACTGTCTGCTGTCCTAACTGCTTCATTTGAACTAACTCATTTAATCCTCCTATCAATGATGTAAAGTAGGTACTGTTATTATCCCCATTTGCCAGATAAAGACATTGAAGCACAGAGCAAGTAAGTACTTTTCCTGTGCTAGGTGTAGTGTAGACTTGTGCCTTGAATCCACATGTGGCTCTACAATCCACCCTCCCACTGACGATAACAACGAGGGAAGGACATGACTGAGTAACCGTAGCCCAGGACCAGCCTGGAGAGGCCCCACCAACCCAAACCGTTTGGTCTGCCTCTTGGCAGCTAAGGTATAATCAGAGGAAGCAGGCCACTGGCAAAGCCACTCACCCCAAGTGATAACTAAACTTTGTTTACATACTCTTAAAATCTATTACTAGAGAACACAGATATCTGCATACACAACAGTGTCGTCTGCTGCCAGATCAACTCACGGTGGTCTCTGCTGTATAAGGCTCGTTATTAGCTGAGAGTGAGACAAAGGTATCACTTCTAAGGACAATGAGCACATAGGTTTATTCCTGAAGGCTTGTGCTGAATGCTTGTTTGCCTTTTGAGGCATAGAATTCCTTGTGGCTTTGGCATAGTAACCCAAGCACGGGTGGTGGAGGCACGAGGACCTGGGCTCTAGTTCCTCCATGCTAGCTCTGACCCTGAGCAAGATACTTAACCTTTCTGAGCCTTAGTCTCCTTCTCTCTCACCCTTGAGGTAGAAGGATGGACAGATGGAAATAACATGACCTCTCAGGTGTAGCTGTCAGTGAGGGTTAGCCCTTCAACTCTTACCCCACACACACCCTATGGATGACACAATGCAAGATTATCATGCTCCAACACTTCTAATGGGTTAAATCTGGGGCAGGAGGTGAGGGTGATGAATGTTTTCCTTACATTTTCCGACACACAGGGTCCTTTCACATTCAGAGATACACATGGACCAATGGCTCCCGCAATCTTCAGTTCCCGAGAGGTCTAAAACAAATTATGTAAAAGTATAATAAAGTTAGAAATCACTGAAATCCACCCTGCTCTCATTATGGCCACAATGAAAGTATATAGAAAAAATATGGAAACATTATCATTCTGCTAAGAGAAAATCCCACGTGGATCACAGCTACTCTCCTACAAGCTTTTCCAGGGCCAATGTCAACTGATGACAATTTTAATAAAATCTGCCCTTGGAAACAACATCATCTTTGGAACAGAGCATTTTCAACTCTCTCAACTCACTGTTTATACTTTAAAATCACTGTACACATAGAAGATAACAATTCTACCAAACAACACTAGACCAGACATAGTAGCTCATGCCTATAATCCTAGCTACTAGGGAGGCTGAGGTGGATCACTTAAGGCCAAGAGATCAAGACCACCAGCCTGGACAATACAGCAAGACCCCATCTCTAAAAAAAGAATTAGCCAAGTGTGGTGGCATGTGCCTGTAGTTCCAGTTACTCAGGAGACTGAGGTGGGAAGCTCTCTAAGCACAGGAGTTTGAGGCTGCAGTGAGCTACGGTAATGCCACTACATTTCAGCCTGAGTGACTAAGTGAGAAGTGACTAAGTTTCTAAAAAAAGTAAAATACCCATTCCTCATCATCTTTTTTTTTAAAAAAAATTTCAAAAATATGAGAATGTTATTTAAAGATTTAAAGTTTAACCAAGATGATTTACTGATTATCTCCAATTCTCCAAATAATGATTCTACATCCTCTAACGGCCCCTTTTAATGTTTTCTCAATGACTTAGAATGAACCGTAGGGGGCTTTGAGTCCCTACATGGAAAAACCAAAACCCACAATGCTGTCTATTTCAGGGGGCTCTGGCTATTATTCAGGCAGGCACTAAATGTTAACATAACCACAGCTCTGTGCAATGCAATAAGCCACACTGATGGCTGGGTGGACACTGACCACTGTGTGGCTGCCCCTGTCCTCCAGCCATTGTGCTTCTTCTAACATTCAACCCATCTCCCCTTCTACCTCCTGCTGCCCTAAACCAGCAGGGTGAAGCAGAGCCTGCAGGGGAGCCAGGCAACTCTTTGTTTAGAACATTAATAAATGTTCAAGTCACCCTCAAGAAGCAAAGGCATGAAGTGAACAATGTGCTTTGTGATAGCCATTTTGTTGGAATCCTCTTAACTGATTTTTAGATGCCTATCTCCAGCAGGCTGAGATTGACTGAAGTCTGACTATTGAATTAGAACACTATAATTCCATTAAAGTTTTAAAAGTCTATTGTACCTTTACTTCCAAAGTAGCACCAAATGCCATTCGAAAATCTCCATTAAAATCTTTACTAAAAATCCTTTGGAATGTCTGCTTGAAGAGAGAAGTGTTGAAAGAATCTCCCATTACCATGTGACCCCTAGGAAAGAAAAAAGAAAACAGAAAGTGAACATTAGGATGACTGAAAGCCATTCAGATGCTCCGTCAGTATTTACGAGCAATAATTTAAAGAAAAAAAAAAAGAAACCATGTCCATAAAGATGTTACTGCCTAACTTAAATGGAAAATAGCACATTCAGTTTGTACTTAGAAATTATTTCCAAAGCATTAAACATAGAATCCTTAAAAATATCACCAATTCCTCTCACACTTCTTTGGTGTGGGAAAATACCCAGGCCTGTGGGAAATCCTTTTCAGGTGAATTCACTGCCTCAAATCCTGACTTTACACGAATTATTTTTTCTAATTCATGAGTATTGATATTCATCTCTTATTGAAATTAGAGGAAAATACTGTTCAAAATTTCAGCATTTCATGTATTTGGGGCAGAGAAGCACAGCTTGATGCAAGTTATGCATCCAGCCATTATTCATAAAACAAGATCTCAGAATTGGGAAGAACACAAGAAAGATCATATGGTCCAACTATCTCAGAGCGTCTGAACTCTCCAGTGAGGCATCAGCTATTTGACTTCAAATATCCATCCACCCTCCTTCCTTCCTTAGTCATGTATTCCATGGGTGCCTGGAATAAAGATGTTTCCCAGCCTGCCTTGCATGTAACACGTAACTCAGTTCTGCCTGCTGGAGTGTCCTTTATGAGGTGTGGAGTATGTTCTCACAGGAAGGGGCACATCCTTCTTTAACCTCTCCTCCTTCCTGCTGCTGTAGGTGGCTAGAGCTCCAACAATGCTCTTGAGCCATACATTGCATATTAAGGGTGGTGGGCAGCTCAGTAGGATCTTAGCCTCTGGTGACAATGAAACCAACCCACCAGCCCTGGGCTGCCTACCTACACAGAGAGAGAAATAAACTTGTTTTGAGTTTTCTGTCACGTTCACACAAATCTAATCATAACCCACATCAATCCCTCTATAATATACCTGCCAAGTTATCATCCAGGTTAGGCTTGAACTCCTCCAGTGTCAGGGAGCTCACTGCCTCCAGAGGCTGTCCATTCCCTGTTTGTCTGTCTTTATGCTGAGTGAAATTCTGTTTCCCACTGGCTTGCACACACTGGTTCTAGCTCTACCCTTTAGTCACATACAGAACTAATCTGATTCCTTCTCCACGGGAAAGTCCTTCAGCTGGTGAATGTAGTTCTCATGCTCCCATTTATCTTCGGCTTTATCTGCTCTAGCTCCTTTAATCATTCCTCATGTGACACAGTTTCACGTACTTTCCACCATTCTCTCTGTTCCCCTTTGAACATATCCAGTGCATCTATACTGCCCTTTGAAACTGAAATTCTCAGAATGGAAAATGACATAATCTGGATAAAGTGTGACTGACACCAAGGAAACAATACTATGATCCTCCTTGACAATAATCTACTCCTATAATGCAGCCTGGAATCACCTGCCTTTGCTGGAAGTCATCCCAAATTGTTGGCTTACTTTGAGCTATCTTCTGCAATCACTAAATCTTTTTTTTTTAAGTGTCACTACTAACATATTTATACAACAGGTGATTTGATCCAAATGCTAAGTCTTTCAGGAGTCAGAAACCTCAGTAAGAATCTGAAGGAAGCAATGGAACCTCTCCACAGAAAACACACACACACACACACACACACACACACACACTCTGGCATGCAATCTCAGGGATGTGCCCAAATACACTGAAGCTTTTCTAGGGGTGCTCCAAGTCAAGAACTCCTGAAGGGCCCTGGTAGGAGTTCATCTTATTAAATGTGGCTCACTGATATAGCTGTATCAGTGTCATCCAGGACCCTAATGTTATCACCTAACACATATGCTGCTCTCAAGGACAGCATCAAATGACTTGGGTGCTACCGCCTAACCCTTTTATTCAATGAGGACCAGCAACATCAGCGGGGAGCTTGTTAGAAATGCAGAACCTCAGGCCAACCCTATGGCTCTACACAAGTGATTCTCAAATTTCTGTGCACACGGATCACCTGAGATCTTGTTCAAATGCAGGTTCTGATTCAGTAGGTCTAGAGTGAGGCTCAAGATGCTGCATTTCTAACAAGCTCTCAGGTGAGGCTGATGGTGCATGGTTCTTAAGCTCTACTCCATGTTAGAATCGTTGGCAAAACTTTATAAAATCCGGATGCCCAGGCCACACCTTATGTTAATTAAATCAGAATCTCTGGGAAAAGACCCAAAGAATAGTTTTAAAAGTTCCCCAGGTGATTCCAATGTGTAGCCAGCTTCTAGTGCTTCATATCAGCAATTCTCACTTTTTCCTATGCACCAGAATCTCCTGGACAGCTGCATCCCCAGGGTTTCTAATTCAGGAGGTCTGGATAAGGCCCAAGAATGTACAATCCTAATCATTTCCCAGAAGCCCCTAAGGTTGCTGGCCTGGGCATCACCACACGTTGAGAACCACTGCTCTACACTTTGACTTGTGAGTACAATACGGACTTGGGCTCTCAGTCAGTGCATCCTTTAGGCGGAGAGTGTGCTTGGTATTAGTCACAAAGTATGGCCACTTAGTTAGGTCAAGTTTCTCCTAATTGCTTCAACATTCAGGTCCTATTTTCTCCACTTCTCACAAGGAAGTGACCTGATGAAGGCCAGATACTGCATGCTTGCTTGCTTTCCTGGTCTGGTCTCGGTACAAGTCCAACAACTCTAAGGAAGAAATGAAGTTACTCTGATATGACTCATTTGTAGGGAACCCCTGCGATCTCCTGCTAATCACTGCATCTTCCTCCAAGGAGTCCACACCCCTGTCTCCAGCCATTGAAACCACACCTCAGAGCTACCTGAAAGTTTCTCTAAGGTAACCTCACCCATTCCTATGGCTCCATCACTCATTTCCCTTTCCTTAAAACAACACTCACGTTTCCCATGTGTTCGCTGTCAACATACCCAGTAAGATTTGCACAACACTTCATCTCCAAAAGTCCAGTTTGGTCAAGGGCACAAGCATAAATATCAATGCAGTGACCATTTGTAGCAGTTCGATTAGCAAGCATCTCATAGTGCTGTGAAAAGAGGAAAACTACCTTTAGGAAACAGTAACATTATTCCCAAGATACGCTTAACTCTACCAAAGGATGTAATCAAATATAGGAATATGGAAATCATTTTCTTTACAACACTCAAATAAAATAAAAACACAGTTTTCAATCTCAGAAGTCTTTGGGAAATCTTAAGGCCACCCACTCTAACTAAAGTCTAAAAGCAGAGGCAGTAATTTAACAGGAGCCAAGATCTGGAAGATTGTCTCCGAAAGAGCTTTCTGCTGACCATGATGCATGGCCTCAGCAAAGTAGCTGCCACTCCAGAGCAGCCCTGTCACTGAGCTACCACAATTACAGCCCGTATCCAAGAGTACCTACCTTAGTTGCCTTTTTCATGAAACGTGCATTATCTTTCTCAATATCATGCCAGGAACGAATAGGAATCTTTAATTCATCTCCAACCACCATGCCAGGCCCTTGGGTAGGGGGACCTCCAGTAAACAGCATGATCCTGGCTCCCGTGTTTGGAAAAGTGCCCTAAAATAGTGAATAGCAGCATTTTAAAGGTACACAGCCCTACCTCCAACTATGGCTTTAATTACCCCATAGACATACTCCAAAGATGGATTCTCTTCCACTGTTCTTAACACTGGTGATACTGCAGAATAGTACAGGTGATAAGGCAGAAAAATAGCACTTATCTTCTTCCAACCTGGTTTGTACACTTTTATTAATTGGCTGTGAGCACTTCCCATTGCTCTAATTCTCTTATGTTTTTCACAGATGCTTGATTTAGGTCACAGATGATTTTCAAACAAAGCCAACAAATATATTTTCTGAGAGCAAGTCTGTAGGATTTGAGAGGCCCTGGTAAATTCTGAATTACCTCCAACAAGCCAACAGCAATGGACAAAGCAACACCAGTGGATCGCAAAGGTCTCTTCCCCTGAGTTACTGGCCATGGGTCCCTCTGCAGCTCCCCAAGAAGATCAGTGAGGTTCATATCAATTTTGTGAATGGGCTGCAGAAATCTGCATGATATTTAACAGACACATCAATCCTGGTATAATAAAGTACTCTGGTATTCAATCCTAGGTGACACATAGTTACTGCTTTTTAAAATAATTACTCAGAGTAGAAAAAACTTGCAATTTTTTTCTTCAAAGCTATTCCAAACTACAAACACAAAACAATTTAAAGCAATTTTATTGACAGACATAATTTAAAGCCTAAAACTTAGCAATTTACATATGCAGCATGAAAAAAACTCAACTTGAAAAGAGCAAATCAGTTTAATTAAATTTTAGGCAGCAAAGAAATCCTAAGGACATGCCTAACGTGAATTCAGTCCAAGTAAGGGCCATTCATGTGGACAATGTTCATTATTCCAACGGTTTAGTTTGTATTTTTCTTGAGCCTAAAGAGTAACACAGAGAGAAACACTCTGGTTTCTTACCAGAATAAGAGGTTGTCCCTAGCGTGTCAGGTGATGCATTTTATTGAGTTAACCTGGCTGGAGCAGTCCCAGGCACTCAATGGGCTGAGTGAAGTAAGTACCTGCTAATAGGTTTGTTTGAGGGCACCCAAAAGAAGCCTTTTTGGTTCTTCCAGTTTTACTTAAAGATCAAAAAGGACAAAACAGCCCAAGAGGAGGGGAATGATTGAGTATAGTGGTTTCAAACTTATTTGATAAAACATTAAGTATTGGTTAGGTTTAACCATTTATTTTTTTCCTCTAATAATAAAAATAAAAAAAGTTCTAATACATTTCTTCCCTTACTCCTATGGGTTGTTCTGCATACCCACTACATATGTGTAACACTACATGTCAGTGTCTCACCTGCTGGAAACCAAAGGGTGCTCCTGTGGTTGAGGAGGTCTTGCTTGCTGCATGGGCATGGCTGGCTTGGTCAGGCCCAACATATCCTTAAAAAAAAAAAAAACAAAAAGACTCTTTTCCCATGATACTAAAAGTGAATGCCTAGTTATTTTTTAAGAAATGTCTTTGCTGCTCCTCCTGTACAAGCAAGGTACAAACCTGTATTTGCTTTGCAGTTAAATCCTTGGTCCCACGGAAGACATAACTTTTGGAGATTCCTTCACAGCTTAGTTCGTGAACCTGCACCATCCTCCCAAATGTGATCAGACCCACCAGAGCATCTGGAGGAAGGAGACTCAGGGACATCTGCAGGGACTCTTTGAGTGCTTGAAGGTCATCTTCCTCCAGGCATGTGTCAACCACATAGAGAAATATCAGAGGGGACTGAGCACCTCGCTTTAGGCGAAGAAAAACAGCACAATGGTCAGAATACAAATAGACATAACTGGTTCTTTTTAAAGCAAATTGGGTACAAAAATCACAACTCTTGATCTATATTTACTCTCAGAGGATAAGGACACCTATACAAAGCTCTACTTACCTCATTAAGTGACTTAGAGTCTATTAAAACAAATTAAACATAAAAACTATTTGTATCCAACAATTTATTCAATACTTTTGAATATCTACCATGTGCCAGACATTGTTTCAGGTCCTGGGATACACAATGAACAGAAAGAACAAAGACCCCTGCATGTCTCAAGGAAAAAACTTTCTGGAATGGAGAGGTTAAGGGAGATTTTGAGCACCAACAGTAGAGGCAGGGGGCAGATTCAACTGTTAGAGAGGCCAGGGCAGCCTCATTAAGAAAACATCTGAGCAAAAACCTGGTGAAGGAGAGGGAAGGAGCAATACAGATATAGGGAAAAGAGAATTCCAGTCTGACGAAGAAGCTAGAGCAAAGGTTTTCAGGCAAGAGTATTCCTGGCTTGGTGAGGAGAGTCAAGGAGGCCCACTAGGCTGAATGAGGACAATAGGAGAAACTGAGGTCCGAGAAGAAACACACAGGGCTTTGAAAGTCTTTTACCCTGGGTGAAAGGGGAGCCATTTTTACCAATGGAGGTTTCTGAACAGAGAAGCAGTATGATGTATGTTTTTAAAGAGTTACTCTGGCTGCTGGGTTAAGAATAAAATGTAAGTAAGCAATGGTAAAATTAGGGAGAACAGTTAGGAGAAGTAATTCAAATGAGAGGCGGTGGCTGGCCCAGGACGGTTAGCAGCAAGGAGAGAGAAGTGGGTGGATTCTGGATAAATTTTGAATACAGAGCCAGTGGGATTTTCTAGAGGATTAGATACGGAACATGAAAGAGAGATGTCAAGGATGAGTCAAAGGTTTTTAAGCTGAACAACTAGAAGATGGAGTATCATCAAGTGAGAGGGAGAAGGCTGTAGAAGACAGGTTTTGAATTTAATCAGTTCCACCTTTCTTACATCCTTCCATCGAGACCTAAAAACAATGCCAGTAGGTACACACACACACCAAAACCTAATGGTTAGGATCCTGCTGCTTCTTTTGGCTTTAAGTTCCCCAGCCAGGTAAGAGACACAGAAGACAAAAGATTTCATGAGAAACTGAATATTTAACATTATTTATTAAATGCACAACAAACAAGGTACCTGTATCATGTACTCAATTGTAGAAAACTGAGGCATCAGTTCAGCAGGCTGATTCACCTCAGATATGCCCCCATAAGCTGGAGGAAACTGAAAAAAAGAAAACAAAGTAATGTTCTATTGGGGCTGACAGATATCTATGTTACACTTTTTATTTTCCATTTATAAAAATGGTAATGATCACACATTAATTCTGAAAGCACGACATACAGAGTACATTACTAAAACACAAAAATCAGCATTCAAAACTTCTAACCCTGACTTATATTTATCTCATTTTATAACTTAAAAAAATAGACTTTATTATTTACAGCAGTTTTAGATTATTGTTGAAATTTCTAAATGTTTAAAAACACAATATTAAAAGCCATTTCTTAAACTTTGCCCTGCAAATTAAAGGATAAAGTTCACTTGTCTCATCATCATCTGGAAGGCTAAAGCCTTTATTTGGGCTTATTATTTTGGCTCTTATCAATAAAGTAATACATGTTCAGTGTAGAAAAACTGGCAAATTCAAGAAAATAGAAAACAGGAGAGGGGTGGAAACCCCAAATCCTATCACCTAGAGGCAGCTATTGTCAACATCTTGGAATATTTCCTTTCAGAAATTTTCTACTTAAGCACAGTTGAGATCATCCTGTATGTACAACTTTGGGATAGCTTTTTGCACTTAACATAATGGCACAGGCATTCTCTTCTGTTTTTAAAACTCTGTGCAAACAATTTAAACTCACAGCATTTGGGCTTGTTTTTAATCCTAAGTCTTAAGTTTTATAATAAAAACAAAAGTTGAGGTGTATCTCCCCAGCAGAAGATCACCCCAGGCCAATGACCTCAGCGTGATCAAATTCAAGTTAAGCTAAGGAGCTGACAGGCAGCTATAAGGGGCCACTGCCCAGGAGGCAGGTATGACTGGACAGCAGAACCCTAGCAGGAGCTACCAAAAAACCTCTAGCCCCATCCTTGCCATGACTGCCCACTGGCTGCAGCTCCCAGCATGGTAAAACTTTACCTATGACTACAAAAAAGCATGGAGAACACAAGACAGGTGAGCCCAGATGCCCAGACACACTAGCTACTTCCGGGCAACCTAGAGAGGTCCTGTTCACCCCCCCAGCCAATCGGGTGCACAGAAGGGAGGAAAGAGGTCAAGATCACCCAGATTCCTCCAGGGGCCATCCCTCATCATGTAGCTCTACACTCATTTAGGGGCTTATTTCTCCATGGTCCATCTGGGAGAGTTACAAAACATTATTTCTGCCTATGACAGATTTTCAGACCATACTTATCAACTGGCAGGTAGAGATCTTAAGTCAATATAATAACAAAAAATACTTATATGGCATTTACTATGTGTCAAATTCTGTTCTAAATCCTTTACATTCATTACGTCAGTTTAATTCACAGAACAATCCCATGAAGTGGGTATAGCACTATTATCCTAATTTTAAAGACAAGGACACTGAGGCACAGGAGGTTAAATGACTTGTGCCAAAGTTACACAGGAAGTAAGTGTAGATCTAAGAGTCAAACCCAGGCAGCCTAACTACGGAGTCCTGGCTCTTAACTACCATACTACCATGTCTTAGAATTTTCATGATAAATTGTATGAAACACAGACATCAATTCTGAATGTAATAGGACAGAGAAATGTTTTTAAGACTTATATATACTTATGAATCTCTTATAGAGGTAAATCTTAAATGGAATCTGCTTACAGTTTCTGAACCTAGGCCAGTCACCAACTGTATATTGTTCTCTTTGCCACTGGACTCATTCATTATGTGCCATATCTAAGTATGAGATTAACTGTAATTATGATCAAACATATGAATACATAAAATGCATGTTATTAACAGCTTAAGATCTGTTATACCAGTGTATACTATGTTGGCCACAATTAATTTTTTCCCAATAGTTTTATTGAGTATAGTTTACGTACCATAAAATTTACCCATTTTAAGTATACAACTCAATAATTTTTAGATAAGTGTGCAGAGGTGTACAATAGTCACCCCAATCCAGCTTTAGAACACTCCCATCATGGGCACAGTTACTTTTAAAGAGGAGTCTCTCTTGTCATTTGTTAGTTTCCTCTAGTTTGGTAGTTTTAAAATTTTTAAATCAAAAGAAGCACAATTTAGAGCTGGTTCCTCTAAAAAAAAAAAAAAAAAAAAAGAAAGAATAAAAAGAAGCTTAACACTGATACTTGGATTCTAAGTTAGAAAGATCAGAAAATGAAAATTCAGTAACATACACTATCAATTAGAATACTGAAGTCAAGTGAAATATGAACAGATCTGTTTTCTTAGGGTAACAGACTGTCTACAGAAAACTTATAAGAAAAGGAAACTCTATGTCCCCTCCACAGCAAATGACAAGGATCAAAATAATGAAACTGTTTGACAGAAAAATTACAAAATGTTCAACATTCGATATTATGCTTAACGAAAGCTATCACCTTGAGTTCAGCAGAAATTGCTGACTGCCAGTGTAGACACAAATTCAACCTCACTTAATTTTTTTTAGTGTAGTACGACTGAAATGAAACACATATTTTTAAAAATAATTCACATACCTGATTTCTTTGGAAACAGAAATTACAGGCCCAAAGTTTTGCTCGATAATCAACCTGACTGTGAGAAAGATAAATATTACGACTAGGTAGCATTTTTATTTTTACAGTAGAAAGCATTCACATGCAAATTTCAAGTTCAGTAAATCACACAGATAAGTGTTTCTATGTGTGTGTATAGGTATATAAAGGTAGGTAAAACATTCACTATACTTAGAATTCTGGCTCGTAAGTACACCAAAAGTTTCCTGCAAAGAGCTGCAGTAAAGAATTGGTAAATCCCTTTTTCTTTTTCCCAAACTCCTAGATAATTTTCTAAATTTCATGATTTATATAAATTATAAGTTATTTCCTTTTGCCTGTTACCTTAACATAGTCTTTGTGAATTTTTCTAACATCTTTATTGTTCAGGTATGTGAAACTACTAAATTCCAACACTAAAAGCATATTTCACACACAGGAAAACCTTCCTGGACTTTAACCTCACTTAGCCTACTTGAAGAGAAGTTGGGCAGGAACACTTTTGGGTTGACAGACTTCCTAGAATTAGTTCAAGATAATGCTTCATCCCCTCCCCTTGAACCCATTTAGAAAACTAATAACCAGTGGCTATCATTTTAAAAGCAGAGAAACACTCTCATATATGAGCACATTATATAAAAGCAAGAGGAATGAAGTAAAAAAATGTTCCCTCATGTAAAAATTTTATGATACTCTCCATCTATTTAAAAATTCATTCAAATAGTGCCCACATTTAAAAGAAATATCATAGGTCACTATCTCAGGTACAAAAAGATTACACTTAATAAAATCATTAAGAGTTAAAATTTCTTCTATCTACTACTTCCTGCATACAGCATCGCCGTACCAGGTAAGTATCAGAAAATGATCTAAGGCTTTTGAATTGTTTTTGGAAAATACTTTAAAAGGCACCAATAAAGTCGACAGTTAAGCCAAAAGCAAACTGACTACAAACAAAAAAAGTGAACTCCAAATCCTCTCCTTTTACCTCTACCTCATTCCCACAAGATTCCAATTTTATCTGGAGTATTAGGCCAGGGAGATTTCTATAAGCATGCACCAACTAAGAATCTCACCATCTATTGCTCATCTCAAATTTGGTGACTTGCTCAAATTGAATGACTTTTATGAGAACCATATAAAAGTAATAATTCACTGTATTCATCATTTTTACCAGTTTTTAAAGGAATTCATACCAAAGTGGATTGAGAACAGCTTTGCAAGTTGGTCTGCTGCAAAGCACAGGTTCATACTGTACAGGAGGTAGGTCTGGACGTTCTTTTAAGGGAGTAAGGAGACAGGCCAGGGGAACAACCATTCTCGTAGCTTCCAGACGGCTGGAAGGCCACACATTCCAACTAAAACGCACACCATCCCGTTCTTCATTCTGCTGAATAAACTCCAGATATGTCGCCATAGTCTAAAAGGGAACTGAAGATAAAACTTTTAATCGTATGTGACATTCTCAACTAAACTTCAAAAAAGAAGATGATCACCCTACACAGTGTTTCTTAAACACTTAGTCTGAAGAACCTATTGCTGTGGAATGACAATATCTCCCTTCCCTCTGACGCCCAAAACCCGATACACTTCACAGTTATCTTTGACTACTGCTCTTTTTTCAACCCTCTTCTCTAGCACTTAAAAATAAATAAATAAAAGAGGTGGGAGGTTTATCATCATTTGATCATATCTAAGCTGCATGTAGTTGAATTCCTCTACTTTAAACTTCCCCGCAGATCACACGTCACCTCAGCCAAGCCAATTTCAACCCCGTGCCCAACGGTTAGTCTCAAACCCTGTTTCAGTATCCAACTATCTTCCTCTCTGATCCCCTTCCTTCCTTGCTCTATTAAGGTACTATACTAAATTTTAGCTTTCAAGTGATCTTTGTCTTGTGCCAATTCCCCTCCTCAGTTTCTTAACTTTGGAGAAAAGAACTGGATACTAATGTATGAGTTCAGCTTATAAAGAACCACTTCTGAGATAAAGTATTTCTACTTGGTATTATGAAAATTACAAAGGAACATTTGCTATTAATAATGAATCTCACTAGAACCTCTTTCCTCACCATGGCTACTTAGGCTCATGACTTGAAAGACTCTGGTCAATGAGACAGTCCTTAAGGCTAAGCTCTCAAACCCAGATCATTCCAGCTTCCAATGTTTTATACATCCTGTTCACATCCTAAAATCTAGGGTAACACACACCTCAGCTATTGGGGTTCAAGGGAACAAGCCCCTTAAGACAAGCAGAAAAAGACAAATTAAAGAGTCTAGGCCGGGCGCAGTGGCTCATGCCTGTAATCCTAGCACTCTGGGAGGCTGAGGCGGGCGGATTGTTTGAGCTCAGGAGTTCGAGACCAGCCTGAGCAAAAGCGAGACCCCGTCTCTACTAAAAATAGAAAGAAATGAATCAGACAACTAAAAATATATAGAAAAAAATTAGCCGGGCATGGTGGCGCATGCCTGTAGCCCCAGCTGCTGGGGAGGCTGACGCAGGAGGATCACTTGAGCCCAGGAGTTTGAGGTTGCTGTGAGCTAGGATGACGCCACGGCACTCTAACCCAGGCAAGAGAGTGAGACTCTGTCTCAAAAAAAAAAAAAAAAAAAGGCCAGGCGTGGTGGCTCATGCCTGTAATCCTAGCACTCTGGGGGCTGAAGCGCGCGGATCATTCTGAGCTCAGGAGTTCGAGACCAGCCTGAGCAAGAGCGAGATCCCGTCTCTACCAAAAAATGGAAAGAAATTAATTGGACAGCTAAAAATATATGTAGAAAAAAAATTAACAGGGCATGGTGGCGCATGTCTGTGGTGCCAGCTACTCGGTAGGCTGAGACAGTAGGATTGCTTGAGCCCAGGAGTTTGAGGTTGCTGTGAGCTAGGCTGACGCCATGGCACTCTAGCCGGGGCAACACAGTGAGACTCTGTCTCAAAAAAAAAAAAAAAAAAAAAGGGTCTATTATATTAAAGTGGCCTCTAGTGTTCACTTCCTGCAATGGTGGATAATAATTGTTTCCATGTTATTTGGAGAAGTGCCATATGGTAAATAATTTGGATTAAGGCAATAATATGAAATGGCTAGAAAAGCTAACAGATTACTCTCCTATGCAGAACCCAGACCATCAAAAGTCCAAATGTTTGCTCCAAGTCAAACTCTAAGACATCTATTTGTTATTTCTGACAAAAGCAGGAACCTGAACCACTGTGCACACAGGAGGTACTTCTGCAGCTTGGAATGGGGGAGGGGGGCAAACGAATAACTCAGGCGGGAGTGAAAGCAAGTTCTAATATCACAATTCTCAGCAGGTACCTCAGCAGGTTTCTTTAAATAACCACTCCCCTCTCAAAACAGTTCTATATTAAAAGGTACTGACTCCACCTAATGTTCCCAAGCATCTACATATTAAAACCTGCTCCCTTCGTTTCTCATTGCCTCTTTCCCTCACCCCTCTACAGCATGGATTCTTAGTCCTCAGCACGTAATCCATAGGGGGGACTACAGAGGGTCCACGAATCCTCTTGTGTGAACAACTGTGTGCATCAGCGAATGAGTATTTTCCTAGGGAGATGGGTCCACGGCTTATACCAAATTATCAAAGTGGAAGAGTATCTGAAGATGTTAATAACTGAATGAATGAATTAGTGAATGAATGAAAGACCTGGAAAGATACTCTAGGAGTATCTATCAAAAAAGTTGAACCGCAATAGCACTATTAGGTATCTACCCCAAAGAGCACAAAACATTCTACGATAAAGACATCTGCACCCGAATGTTTATGGCAGCACAATTCACTATTGCAAGAATGTGGCACAACCCAAGTGCCCGTCAATCCATGAGTGGATTATCAAAATTTGGTATATGTTTACAATGGAATATTACTCAATTATAAGAAACGACAGTGATCTAGCACCTCTTATACTTTCCTGGATTAAACTTAAGCCCATTATCCAAAGTGGGGCACCAAAAGAGCAGAAGAACGGGATCCATTTGTACTCACCATCAAATTGGTACTAACTGATCAACACTAGGTTGATCACATGGCAGAAATACTCTCTAGGGATTAGGGGGATGAGGGGTGCAAATCTACAACTAAAGGACACGGGGAGCACTAAAGGGAGGGAAGGGCATTCCTTTAACTCGCATTTGGGTGAGGCAAAGACAAAAAGTGTACCTATAATGTTTGTACCCTCACAAAACCCTGGAATAAAAAAAAAAAAAAAGTTGAACCACCCTTATCTCAACAAGTCATAACTGTTCAAGACATAGTAACCATCTGTTAGACAAAATTAAGTAAGGTTTAATTCTTGCAAGAGTCTGAAAACCCGGCTTTTAGTTCCAGCTCTGTCAGAAAGTAAAAGTCATTTCACCTGAGACTTGAGTTTCTCAACTACAAACTGGGGGTTGGGTTCTTCTAGCCTTGTGCACCCTGAGATTCTGAGGGACCCGGAGCCAGAAACCGATCCTCTAGTCTAGCCACTCGGCCTGGCGCTGGACGCGTAACTCTCAGCAAACTCCTGGGTCAGCGATTCTCTCCGGTTCCCCTGCCTGCCCGGAAGAAGCCTCATCCCAGGAGCAGCCCACCTCGTCCCCACCAGAAACTCACGCCCTGGTCTCGACTCTCCGTCACCTCTGTTCCCGGCTCACCTGGCCGGAACTGCTCACCTGGCCAGAACCGTCAGCACTCACAACCCAAAGCGCCGCGCTCCGACTCCCACAGCCAAGTCCAGCTCAGCTTTCAGCCGATTGGTCAGCGTCCCACCCGTCAGGCCACGACTCCATCTACTGGCCAATCAAAGAGCAGACGAGCGGAAGCAAGACATACAGAGAAGCCACGCCACCATCTTGGAAGAGGGCAAGACAGTTGTGCCTGGCACTTCAAAACCACAGTTCCTCAGAACGCACGTTTCCACAAGTTCACCCCTAAACGTTTCTGCTTCAGAAAACCCCAGCGCCTGCCAGACTGTTCCCCTAAAAAGCGGCGAGCACTCCTCAAGGGTTAGCCCTGCTATAGTATGACGCCACTTGTCTCAGCGGAAAGTCCCTTTCATCTCCTTAGTTACCGGGAAGCGAGAACGATGACGTATGCCTGCGGAAGAGGGACGGGCGCCAGCCAGAGGAAACCGAAGCAGTCCGGAAGAAGGAGTCAGAATAGGGGAAGGGCGGGGCGGAAGGGGACGCATGCGCACATGTTATCACGGGGAGCAAGTCTAGTGAAGATTCAAGTACAGCAGGTCGAGTTATGCTGCTTCACATTGCAACGTTTTCTTCTGTCCGCTTGCTGTACTGATTTCGCGCTCTCAGCGGAAATTATTGCAGCGCACAGTCCCTGTCTGCGTGTCCATGCCTGTCGTCTTTCTACAAGGAGATGAGTAATTGAGAACTATAATATTCAAGCATTTTAGGAGGCTAACAAAGCGCGTATAACTACATAGAACACAGTTTTCTACAGCCATCACGACTTCCTTATGAGTGACAAAAATGAGCACATTCATTATTCTGACTCAGAGGTACAATCTTGCTGTTGCATATAAAAATAAGGAAAACGACATAAACAATATATTTCGGCATCCAAGAAGTATCCATTAATTAGCTCAATTTAATTACTACAAAGTTTTAAATTATCTATGGATTATAGAAATCATAGTCAACGTACTATAAAACAATTACTGTTAATATGAAATTTGTCAGAATAATGATTCAGTTTTGTTGAACAAATTTACGTTTTTCCTGATCTTAAACATGTAATGTTAATGCTAGCTTATTTGATTAGTAAACATGTATAAGTTTAGAACATTCAAATTACTCTCTCTAAGGAAACAAACCTAAGTAAAATAAAACGTACACATGTATTACAGTTAACACTGAGAAGAGACATAGCTGGGCTTTTTTAAATCAGAAATTAAAATAGTAAAAACAAATTAAAATAGCATTATTTGCCAAAGTTTGCCTTAATTGTTTGAACCTGGATTCTTCCTGTATTAGCAATTTCTATAAGAAGGATTTTTTAAAATCTAGCACATTTAAAGTTTTAGAGATTCAATTTACTTATTTTCTGGGATTTTTTTTTTTGAGACAGGGTCTCACTCTGTGCCACATGTCATAGCTCATTGAACTCCTGGGCTCAAGTGATCCTTCTGTCTCAGCCTCCCAAGTAGCTGGGGCTAGAGGTGTGCACCACCAAGCCTGACTAATTTTAAGATTTTTTGTAGAGACAGTGCCTTGCTATGGTGCCCAGGCTGGCCTTGAACTCCTGGCCTCAAGCTATCGTCTTGCCTCGGCTTCCCAAAGTGCTGGTATTACAGGTATGAGCCACTGTGCCTAGCCATTTTCTGGGAGTTTTAGGAATACTTGATTTATATGTATGTATTTATTTCCATAAACTAAAGAGTTTCTTCAAGAGATGTCATAATCTAATGTATTAAGACTCTACAGAGGTAGTAAGACATTTTACACTCTCACAACAAGAGGCGAAGGCCTTTCTTGATTACAGCCGTGAAGACACCTAGACACAGAGAGCCTATAGCTTTGGTTCTACAACTTTGGCCACAGGTCAAAAGTAAACACAGAAACATAAAAATTCAACTGACCAAATAACAAAAAGCTATTCTCCTTCCCAGTGGGCATGGAAGTCTTAACTGATTTGAACTCATAAGTAGACAGAAAAGTGGACAAATGAAAAAAGACTAACAAACCAGATTCTTCATCATCTCTTATCCAAGAGAGAATAGATCTCTATAAACTATTAATTCACTTAAAGAGATCACTAAATGGTCAGAATAGAAAGTCAAATTCCTAACTCTTGTTGTCACCAATGGGGAAAACCTTACTGGCCCTGGGTGAATCAGAAACAAAACACAAATCAACAGAGAGGAGAAAAGACACCTAGAGAAACAAAAGTCAGCACCGTTGTAATACTATTGCCACTTGGTAGTCAGTCTGGGGGCCAAGAATAAGCATGCGTGGGCTTATCAGCCCATGAGGTATTCTTTAGTAATGTGGTTTACACCTGGTTCTGTCCATTGAATCTAGTGGGATGTTCATGAAACCTCCAAAACTGTTAAAGTGTTATGAAAAGGTAGAATTATGGCCCTCATGCAAATATAAAGTGAATATGTGCCAAAGATTTTACTTAACTCATTCATTACTGATTAATTCATCCGTACAACCAATAGGAATGTTCAAACTGATTCTAAGAAGAATTTGATTTATAGAGTCTTATATTTTCTACCACACAAAATTCATTTGCATTTCTGTGGACAGGAACAATTTACATTGTTATGTACAGGAAACATTTGCATGACTATCAGTTTTCTGTAAGTTAATTTTTATCTCTACAGAGTTGTGAAATAGAATAGTCAAAGACAAAGGTACATACTCCTTATAATCAGATGACCCCCAGAGGTCTTTTTTTAAATGCCCAGAATTCCATGGAACATTCACCCAGTAAAGTCTTTTGACTATTTCAAAATATTTCACAACTTTCCTAACATAGTATCAACATCTATACCCTGACTCTAAATTCTATATTTCTGGCTCAGACTTCTCTACCTAACACTAGATTAATATATCCAGCAACCTGCTGGATGCTGCAGAGTAGGTTCACCGTGCACTGGTTACCACTTCCATCCACTGAATCTTGGGCTGCGCTTTTATAGAAAACACTCACATACACAAGTCAAATGAAGCAGATGGCAGAAGCCTAGGATTCATGACAAGCTGGTCCCTCAAGGCTCAGGAAAGCTGCACAGTGTAGGTGGAGTCTCTTCTATGCATGCCTATTTGCACCACACAGCTGGGGACCTGGAAAGCAGACTACCCTGGGTTTTAGACCCTAGGGGGGAACATAACATGCTGAGCTAAAGCACTGAAGGACATCCTGTTTTTAGGGGGGCTGGAACAGAGCCTGGGCTGGCCTGGCCAGTTCCTCCTTACATATTCCCAGAACATTATATAGTTAGTCTTTAGAACTACAAGCAAGAAAGGGAGGAGAACTGAATCGGTCCAAGGCCATCTGGAGAACTGTTCTGCAGATATTGCTGGGTATTCTTGGGCATCTCAATCTCAGCATGTCCTAAATTGAATTCATCTTTCCCCCAGCTCCCAACTAACCTTCTGCCTCTTGTACTCTCTATTTCACTTGGAGATGCCATTCTCTTCTCAGTTCTACAGTCTAGAAACTAGAGAGTTATCACTGGCCCTTCCTTGTATCTGACCCCTCCCCCCTAAAGCTAACAATGAATCACTTGGTCCTGTCAATTTGTTATTCTAAATATTTCTCAAGTTCAGGCACTCTTAGAGATAAAAACTGCTTAGTTCAGGCACTCTTCCTCTCTCATTGGATTATTGCAACAGCTTCTCAAATGATCTCTTTGCCTGAATTTTGCCAGAACAAAAAATCACATTGCTGGATAGATTTTTATAAATCACAATCTGACTCTGACATTCTCTTACTTAAAACCCTACATAGTTTTCCCATTCCTCACAGGATAAAGTAGAGGTCCCTTGTGCTACTCAAGGGCCTCTGTGATCTACACACCTCAATCCTATAGCATGAACCACCACTCTTCCCAGCCCACATGTGCTGTTTCTTATCTTTGTGCCTTTTTCATGTCCTCCTCTCTGCCAAGAAACCTCTTCACCTCCCTTCCTTTCCCAATGAACTCCCATGTGTCCGTCAAGAGTTTGAAGCAGATTTCCATTGATCTTCCTTCTCCCCAAGGTGGTAAAAACAAAAATCAAACAAACAATAAGCAAACAAAAACAGTGGAAGAAAGGAAAAGTAACTACAGAAGAGGAGAGACTAAGTTTGGACAGGGAGTTTAAAGTTACATACAAACTTCCTACAGAAGAGATACTGACCTAAAAGGAAAAATTCAGGCAGAGTAAGATTACTGAGAAGAAGGGCCTCAGTGGAGGGTGGCTGGACCCTTTAGAAAGACTGAAACTGCCTCAGCAAGTTCCTGAGAACAGCTCTTTCAATATCAGCAAATGATAAATGAGATGTAAAGGTGCATTTTAAGATTTTTAACAATTCATAAAAATGTTGACTTTTAAGTTTTGAAACCAAAGCTATTTCTTTTGTGATAATGACAAACTCAGAAAATGCTTACATGATAGATAAAAAGTAGAAAACAAGGTGGATTTATATGTAATTATAATCTCTGCAATCATTATTGGCACATACAACATGAGAAAGGTGAGAGTTAATGCCATTGCCTTTTTTCCTCCTTCTAGAAGGAAGAGCTAACTGAATCTTTTTTTTTTTTTTTTTTGAGACAGAGTCTCACTGTGTTGCCCAGGCTAGAGTGCCGTGGCATCATCCTAGCTCACAGCAACCTCAAACTCCTGGGCTCAAGCGATCCTCCTGCCTCAGCCTCCCGAGTAGCTGGGACTACAGGCATGCCCCACCATGCCCAGCTAATTTTTTCTGTATATTTTTAGTTGTCCAATTAATTTCTTTCTAATTTTAGTAGAGACGGGGTCTCGCTCTTGCTCAGGCTGGTTTCAAACTCCTGAGCTCAAACGATCCGCCCGCCTCGGCCTCCCAGAGAGCTAGGATTACAGGCGTGAGCCACCGCGCCCGGCCCTAACTGAATCTTGAGGAAAGATAGATCCTTTTTCAGCCCACGGTTCCTGTTAAGGGAGTATCATGTTTCTTGAACTAAAACCCACCAAGCAAACAACCCATTGGGTATAGAAACACCTCTGCATGTTTTATTTTTAATTTGAAACACCAACACCTTT